TGCACCATATTACACAAGGTGTACATTTCAGAATTTTCTGTAGCTTGAGCTGCATCTGACACTGATTTTTCTGTTGTATATCTGTGTGATCATGTGCCGCAGAGGTCTTTATTATGGTGCTGCCTCCCAAATCTATGAAGCAGAGAAAAAATAGGAGTGTGGGTCAATTTTGTGTGTCCTTCTTAGTTGAAAAACTACGAAAATGGCCTCTATGTGAAAAAATGTGTGCTGATGAACAAAGGTAATGAATTCATAGGTAGCTTGTAAAGGTTTGTCCTCAGATTACCTTGATTTGCACACAGCTTGTTTACTATGGTGCAATAGAAATTTTGTTGTGTGATGCATGCACTGCAGTCAGAAAACGTATGAATGAGCAGTGACGTTACTGGGGAAATGTATTTACACAACTTTCAGGTGCTCATGTGCATTGTACTCCTTTATGAAGAGGTAGGGAAGTGTTAAAAGGCATCTTTTAATGGAGAACAGCAAACTGTAAAATAATCTGCTTTATATCAGTCTACAGACCACCAGATTTGTTGTGTGCCCATAGCACATTTGTAAAGAGATTGGAAAAAGCAACAATGGGAGCTGCATGTGAGCCTGAATAGACCTGACAGGCAGGTTATGCAGCCTACTGCTGTTGCAGTGGCACCTATCAAAAAAGCACTAGAAGGTAAGTTTGTGAAAACTTAGATCCTAATAAGAGCATCTGTGAATAAATTTAGTGTCTGAAGCATCTTAGGCCAAGGGCTCATATATTTCACTTAACAGTAGTAACGAATGAGAAGGGACACCTTTCTGTCTCTGCTCAGTTAATTTAATCCTGTATGCTCTCTCTTGGGAGAGGCTCTTATGGGGGCTTTGGTCAAATATTTGCAATAAACAGGCAACCAAATAATACCTTCAGAGGGCACTAGTGAGCTTCTCAAAACACTCCATTGGCAAGCGCCCAGATATATTGAGGGGTGATGTGTTCCACTAATATTTATGTACTTCTGAATCCATAATTTTCTCACACCAAATCAGACATCACTTCTCCCATTTACCTAAAAGATGATAATGTTTTTTACTTTTATAAAAGAGTTTGGAAGAATTGCAGATCCATGTCCCAATTCTTGTCATCAGTGAATAAAATGCACACTTTCCAAAATTAGATTACTTGTCTTAGGAAGAATGAAGCTATTTGTAGATATTTTTCCTATTAGAGTTCTCCAAATGTGATAAAACTGACAGCTGATACATTTAGTTAATGATTTGCATTGGACTTTACTTTTCGTTCTCATTCCTGTTGTTGGACCAATATATAAAATTGTGCAGCAAAACTATTTTTTCCTTATTTTATGAACTTTAAATTTCTTTAAATTCAAGCATTTTATTTAGTATAATATTATGCAATGTGGCCTTTTAACAATTACCATTTCCCAAATTAAAAATGCTTCTATGGTCCTTGTGAAATATAACTTCATAAAAAAGAATGCTGTGATAGCATTGAAGTTGGAGGCTCATAAATTAAAAGTCAGAACTAAAACAAGTTTAGAATTAACATGGAAGTCACATATAATGAAACACGAACAATTGATTTGTTGGGTTTTTTCTCCCCCAAGAAATATTTATATCCTTTGTTAAAGAGTTATTGGGGGTTGTAATGCTTTTGGTTTGAGCCCTGCTTTTCCTTACAGCTTTGTAAGTTATTGAAGATGACAGTTTTAAAACTGCACAAGCAGTATAGAAACCAAGACATAATACTCACTGGAACTTTCCTGAAACCAGTTATTTTAATTTACATGCACACCAATCATTCAATGGAAAATTACCTTTGTCACAGTAAATTTTATCTATGGTAAAATCCAAATTGTTGATTTTAACAGTTCTCATATTTTATTTTGTATTTTATGTTTCTTATTATATAGCACATTAAAATAATTAAATATTGATTTGTCAAGTAGTCACTTTGTGTTAATGCAAAAACTGTAATGCTGCATCTTGGGAAAGAAATCCATTTTATGTTAGACAGTACTTCTTACGTAACAGGAAAGCACTGTGAATTCTTAGAATGATGAAAATCTTGTAACCCGAAGGTTCATATGCTGTTGTTTGAATCATCTAGCTAAGACATAACTAAACATTCCTATTTCTTCATATTTCACGTAATCATTGCTGATTGCTATGCATGCTGAAAATATGCCAAATAGCATGCATTGGTGGTGATTCACGGTCTCTTTCTCTTACACAAAAAACCACACAGATGGATGTACACATTTGCACACACAGACTTGCACTGAGGTAAACAGGACTAGTAAATGTTTATATGGATCTCAAGAGAGGAAACGATTTCCTAGATTTGACTGCCAGTTTTAGGCTTTCTAGTGCTGGTTATTTGTTGTTTAGTTGCCTGTTCAATTATTTTTCTCTCTGGACTAGTATATTTAAACACAGGATCTAATTACAGTTTATACAGGATTGCTATCAATTTTATTTCTCTCTCTTCCTGGAGCAAGACTGGAGCTTTCTATTTTTATTAGAAAGAAGATAGAGTAAGCTGCAAATGCAAACCAGAAAACATACCATGCTTCTATTTACCATGTGACTATATTTGCTACTTCTTTTCTTTGTGAAGACCCCCAGAAAAAAACTGAGATAAAATACTTGATACTAAGTACAAGCAACAATTCCTAGTAGACATTAGATTAATTAGAGCACTACTGTGTATTTAGCAACACTACTGAGTCATAGTGGTCTTTGCAATGGAAATTTTGCAGTTAACATGCAGAAGAAGACACTGGAATTGCAGAAGATAAATGTATTTTCTCTTCTTCTAAAATGTGTTTAAGGACAGCGTCTTTACAACACAGTTGACAGTCTACTCAAGGTGATACAATTTTTTACATGTAAGCTACCTGTATTTGCAGAAGAAAGCTTTGCACAGCTGTGTTTAATTTCTCCTATTTACATTTTAATACCTGTATGGTTCAAGCAGATTCTGTGGTTTTAAATCACTGCTGAAAACTTGTCAGAATAAACTGCTTACAAAGCATATACCAAGTTCTAGTAGAAAGACTGAAACAGTCCTGTCTGGAGTCTCTATTTATGAAATGAATTAGTGAATTAAAGCAGAGGACAGCAGTTTCTTGATGGCTGTTGTTAGGGCATTTCTGTCATAGTTCCTCTTATGTTTGATTCCTTCTCAGGTGTAGGCTTCTGGTACAACTGGATCCCTTCTGTTCACACATGCAGGGAAAGAAAATCCTACTACTTGTTCCACGGGGTTAGAAAAACACTGTGGTAAAAAAAAAAAAGCACCTTCTAGGCTTCATATATGTCCCCCCTCACAGTATTTCCCCATTGCTTAATCAAGTCCTCCTTGGCTATTGCAATACAAGTAATAAACAATAATAACCAAGGCATTCTAGTACTTTGGGGTGTGGAGCATCCTTAACTTCCACTAGAAACTCGATGAATGTGACAGGATTAAGGCCTAAAGCTTTAAAAAGCTCCTGGTACCATTCATTTGCTCAGACAGGGATTAAAACAGGCAGGCAGCAGCAAAGTGGTAAATATTGACTCAGCAGTAAATAAAATCAGTCCATTGAGGTGGAGTGTACAATGTGTGGTGGAAGAAGAGTCACGAGAAAGCAATACCGCTCTTGGGCAGATTAAACAGTGTACACCACAAACCTACATGTTGTTTCAGGGAAGTCATAGTGTTCATAAAACACAGTGACACTTAACACTCTTAACAGTCTTTAAACAAGGAAATTGTGTGTGCTTTTTTAAAATCTGGTAAAAATTATTTTCTGTAGTAGCAAAACAGATGAAGTCTGGTACTAATGAGCAACCACCACGCTTTAATATGTTTTAAAATATGCATGTGTAAATTTTACTTCCTGTCCACAACTATGTTAAAAAAAAAATCTTATGATTTTTTGTTTATAAAATGGAAGACGTTTCAAGACCATTCTCTCCTATAAAAACACAAACACTCTATTACCCTATAAAGAAAAATAGATGACATACAGGTGTTCAGGTGATGAGAAAGATAACAATTATAATAGCTTTTGTCAAGCCTTGTTAGGTGTGTGGTTTGTTACACTGAAAATCAGTCACTGGAACACCATTTTCTACTCAGCATATAACAGTCAACAGAAGAATCTATCATCAGGCTGAAACATTTAATTTGTCTCAGCACTGTTGATAAATTTTGTTTCTACAGCATTATGAACATGCTATTTAATGGTGGAATGAATGTGCATTAACACACAGATTTGATTGGTTTTCCTTTCTCTTCCCTACTCATGCAAAAAAAACAGTATAAAAAAGGTAATATTAATCTTGTAAATGCAAATATGCCTGACAGTTCAGAAACTCTGCATTTGTACATATGAATGTGAACTATGTTAATGAAATGTAGCAACCAGAAAAATAAATAACTTTTGAGTTGCATACCATGAAAACGGCTGGCAAAGAACAAAGTAATGGGGCTACCTCACAAAATGGCTGTGAGATAAGGAGGGGTGTATGCATTTGAGGATAAAATTGTTATTTCCACCACAACTGGAAAGAAGAAAGGGCTTTTGTGGTTTTCTTTCCCAATACTTCAATGGCCATTGTTCAAGTTCGTGTACAGGTAAAAGGAAAATACAGTCTTCTGTCATCCTCCTAAGAGATTAAAACCTAGCCATTAACAACTTTGAAGAGTTAACAGGTTGAAATACTAGAATAAAATCACTTTTCCCCCCCCCACCCCAGGCAAGCCCTTGAGCATCTCAAGCCATTTTAAAAGCCTAAATATCAATGTCTGTATGCAACAAATTTGTGGAGATATGCTGATACTGAATTTGTAAACATACATATCCAAACTCTTGATATAAACATGAACAGAAAAGTAAAGTGATTGCATTATACCTCAAGTAAGTTTCTTAGGGACATATATAAAGGGTGTCACCCTTTTAAGCTTGATATGGAAACCATATGCCATCTGAAATACCCCAGAGAGTTCAAAATCTGTAAAAGAATATTCTTTATTGGAATAGAGTGGCAGTATGACAATTCATTATGTGAATATCGAGTCTACATATTTATTTACATATAATCTGACACTTCAGAGTAAACAATAATAGCATTTGCTATTATGCTCAACATGAAAATCACAGTTTATAAAAGAGAAATAGACTTACTGAATAATTTAGAATTTTCATATAAAGGGCAAACACATTCTGGTAGATAATACTGCATAATGACTATTTCAACAGCTGTTCATGTGAATTTCAAGTAACAAGCAGTCTAATCCGAGTTCAGTGCCAGCAGGTGAGCTGTCAGCAGAACTTCTCCAAGGCCAGATGGAGCTTTCCAGGTCTACACAAAGAACTGACCCAACCAGAGCCATCTTTGTATCAGTGGAGAAAGCCAGGCTCAGTAATTTCCAGGATACTGACTACTGCACTGTGGCACAGAAAGTACCCTGTTCATGTAAGACAGATAACATGTGAAAACTGACTGATGCATCTGGAAATCATCACTATTTAGCATTTGCAGTAAGACAGCGCTTCTACATGCCAAACAAGATCACTCTCAACCATGCACTGTGTAATTCACCCGTGGATATTCTGCACAGCAGTTCCATGCCAGAGCAGCCCTTCTGGCTCTCCCAGCTCTGATGTGGTGCAGATCTGTATCCTGAAAACAGCCTGCTGGAAAGTGATGAGCGAACCTGCTGGGGCTCCCCACTACTCTCACTCAAGAGATGAAGTCCAGCTCAGCATCCTCAGCTGTCAGGGATCACAGAATGTTTTATAAATACATGGTGAAGGAGTGGACAGTTAATGTACTATCCAGCAGTCCTTTTGTGACTTTCTTCAAAAATAGCTTTAATCTCACTTACGTGAAATGAATGTAAAACTCTGTATATGAATGGAAGTTTTTAAAGTCTGGTAATTGTTAAATGTTAATTTGCAAGCCTGAGGGATCAAATAATTGTTGACTTTTACCTTAGAATCAAGTAGTTATGATACTCTCTGCTGGAACGAAAGAATCACCAAAAGCCAAATAAAACTTGAATTTAATAAATGAAAACATCTTCACTAATATCTTGCAAAAAAAGCGATACCAGTCAGTATATATCTTCCTCAACAAGTAAAAGGTCATATCAGATCACTGAAGTGAAAGGCAATGTACTGCACTGTACAGGAGATGTGACAGCAACATTAGCTGTTACAAAACATCTTTCCCCAAATGAAAACTGTACAAAAACAAAAACAAAAAAAAAAAGAAAGAAAGAAAAAAAGAAAACCAAATATCACTCTAAACTTGGCGTACTGAAGACATGACTAAAGCAAGCTTTTTGGAAAGAAAGGTTTCATAAAGTGATCTTCTGTTTAGAATTCCACTATTAAATGCCAATATTTATGTATTTATGCATTTCATGTTTTCCCAAGATTCTATTATGTGTTTTTCTGTTTTACACTTTTAGAAGTCACAAAAGCTCAAGAGGAGAATCAAGCAGTTCTTCAAGTGATTGCCAACGTGATCACAAAGGGAGGACATCTTGAGGAGATCAGTAAGGGCTTTTCAGTCTTAACCTCACTAAAGTCCACTTTTGCCTTGTGTATTCACAAACTAAAGAAACCCTGCAGAAAGATCAAGGGCAGCAAAGACAAGGTCAAACCGTCTATGAGGTGGCACAGCTATTCCTGGCTGCAATGCATGTTTTTTTCACATGAAAGGTAAAATACAAATGTAAAATGTATCGTACCTTCCTGCAGCTAATTATTAAGAAATACAGGAAGAATACAACCATAGACAAACTCTAAACATGCCACTTAAAATGCCAGCGTCTTTCAAGCTGCCTGTATATCATTGACCTAAGTGGCCTCACCACTTTTAATGAGTGACTTGGGGATGTTTCTTGTACAGAAAGAACACAAAGTATGTCATTGTAATTCTGCAAGTGAAATAATTTACATATGTATCAATTTTGTACTGCATTACACTGAAAAATATTGTTAATGGAGATTTGCTGTGCAGATGTGTAATTTTGAATTTAGAAGAGACTCGTGGGAATATGATTTAATATTCTTATTTAGACTTTCCTTGGATACCGTCAGGAAAATATATGCAGGATTTACTAATGAGAAGTGTGTATGCATATACCTGGTACTGCTTTAAGGAGCATTTAAGGGCCTCATTGTTACTGAAAAAGTAATACTTTTCTCAATAATGAAAAAGCAGTAAATTGTTCACTTCCAAGCTCTTTTGTACATGCACAGATGCTGCAGTTCTGTCAGGTTTTCAGAACATCCACAGGCATTGTATGTTAAAATATTGCGAAATTAGGGTTTTTCCTTTCTGACCTTCCTGATCTTCTAATACAGATGCCATTTCGTACAGTGTCCCTTTAAAGAAACAAAGTCAAGGACTGTGCATACTCATTAGCAATTGTGAATGACAGGAGTCACCAGCTTGTGAGAAGAACTGCAGCTCCTGAAAGACTCAAATAAAGAAGATTTACTGAGGTTAGGGGGAGAACAATGAAAATTAGTTTGTAATGGTACTTTATAATACTGTAGGTTAAACGCAATGCATATTCTGTGTTTTTAATTTTTCTGAGTGAAATGTAAACCAAAGGTCTTCTCAAAAGAAGAAGAAGTGTTTATTGAGAAGGTGAGGTAAAGTGCAAAATGAACAAAAATTATATGAAAAAATTGTTGTTGTAACTATTAGTTTTCTGAGCTTTTTTTTTACCCTTGAGAAACCATTGAGTTTTAAAGTTCTGAGCTAAACTTACTTACATGTTTTTTGTCAACAAGACAATGTATAAATACACTTTTATATGTATTAAACCATTTCAAGATTTTCTTTTTAAATGCCAGTGTCCTACAATGCATTCACTTTGATGTTATAATAAAATATACAGTAGATAATTTGTCTGCAGCTGAATTCACAGATGTTGCAGAAGTGAAGAGGGGCATCAGTCAAACTGCAGGACACAATGGCTGTCCTTGCCATTCCCTAGGCTAAGAAGTGGAAGAAGCACACTAGCAGTGCCAGGGAGGTATGCCTCCAGCAGTGAGGTGAGGTATGAAAGCTCCTATGCTACTGCGTGTTGCTGACAGCAAATGTGGGAGGAGGAAGGTAGTGCCTATTTCTGTGGGGATGGGTGTCCTGATGTGGATTTATATACCTGACATGTCATTACATAGGCTCTTACTCTATCCACAGTGGAGAGAACACAAGTTAATGTCCTTTCTTCTAAAATGTAAGCCAAACATACTAATCTGAGTAGTGACAAAGGTCAAATTCACTTAGAAAGGAAATGGGAAGTTCTGTATTTTCTTAGCATATTAGCATGTTAGGGTGCTGCAGTTATTAATGCATACTGTGTTTAAAATAGATATAGATTAAAAAGCAGTTATCAACTGCAGAGTAAAACTCTTCATCATTTTTGTTGGCATCCTGAGTTTCCCTTCCTTGATTTCTTCACCTTCCTCAGACTGGGGTCTGGGATTGCTGTCTAATGTTAGCCTGTTCTTTCATCATACTGCAAATCCTATGAGCTTTACCTGTAGATTAAATAAGGCTTGAAGAACCATTATAGATCTGCAGTACCTCTGATCTCTTCTGTCCACTGTATTCCAGATGAGACCTTGTGGAAAGAAGTCCCAGCTGTCTGCAAGCAAAGTCAGAACAGTTCACTGTGCTGGTTGTGCTGAAAACTGCAAATGAGGGTCTCTTACTGTTTTCAGTGATAATTCACTTTCTTACCTAGAACCAAATGAACATAACTTCTGATAACTTAAAAATTCACTAGGGTTGAGTTTTTGGGATTTTGCTGTTGACAGGAGAATTAAGATCACTTATTAGTGACCAGCAATCCTTGCAAGAGTAAGATCACTACCCATTGACAGGATACTTTAATAAGCTTTTTGATCTTTTACCAAACAAAAGTAATTAGGGTTATAGGAGTTTATAACTTCCTTTGGAGGAACATCTATATACACAGAGTGCCAAACCTGATTAGTTTTTTTCTTATATCAGAAGACTTTAAGAGAAATTTTTCTTTAATATGCATTAATTATTATCAGCAAATTGTGTTATGGTGACATGATTGTCAACCTGCTTTTCAAAGGATGCAAGGCTTATATTTACTAAAATTATGTGTAAGACATAATGCCCAAGAGTATATGAGATTGACCTTGCTTATGCAAAGACCGTGTAGGCATTGCTATCTACAGATACACACCTTATAAGTATCCTGGGATGTGGTACTCAAAGTTATACCTAACACTGTCAAATAATTTTAATTTTGCATTTTTTTTTGAAAGAGCTAGTGGTCAGATATACGCTCTAATATTTGATACATGGATAATGTAAGAATGAAAATTGATGTGGTACCTGTAATTTACAGGAGAAAACACTTGTAATGCTGGCGAGGCGCCGTGGTCGGACAGTCAGCCTGCTGAGCTCGGGCCTGCCTGGACCTCGCCTGCTCTCGTCGGGCCAGACGGGCCCGCACGCCCCGCTCAGGGCGAGCTGCAGGGCCCATCCCAGGCGACTCCCATTTCCCCGTATTTCATCCGGACGGTGAAAAGCCCCGCTGCCTACTGCCAATCTGAGGTCCAAGCAAAAACGTTTTGTTTCCCTAACCTCGGGACCCAATACTCCGGCTACCACGTGTTTCCTCTTGTCACTGCCCGGTGGGAGGGCTGCGGCTGAGCCCCTGCGCTTGTGAAAGGGGCTGGGAGGGGATGCACTTGGGCAGGCGGGAGGCGCAGCGGCTCGGCAGGTTTCGGGTCCGCTCCGTCACCACCGCCTGGCTCCGGCGCGGCGGCAGCATTTTCTAGCGCTCTTTTGACAGGAAAGTCAGGGTATTTTAACAGGAAAGTCGAGCTCCTCAAGGGGCGGACGGAACCCTCGGCCCGCCCCAGGGACGGCGGCAGGGCCGGGCATGCGCGGCGCCCGCTCCGCTCCCGGGAAGCGCCGCCTCCGCCGCCGCCGGGCGCGGGGGGACAGCGGCGGTGCCGAGTGGCCGCGCCCTCCGCCATGAACCTGCACCAGGTGCTGACGGGCGCCGTGAACCCCGGGGACAGCTGCTTCTCCGTCGGCAACCTGTACGACCAGCCCTTCACGGTGAGCGTCCCCCGCCGCGGTCGCGGCGCCTCCGCAGGGCCTGGAGCCGAAAGCGGCTGCGTCAGACGCGGCGGCCGCGAGCGGCCCCGGTCGCGGGGCTTGCCCCGGTAGCGCCGTCCGGCGGCGCCGCCCGAGGGGCTCGCGGGTACCCGGCCCGGCGGGGGCGGGGGCGGGGCCGCGCAAAACTTGTCCGGAGCGGCGGCCCCGATGCCGGCGGCGGCCCCGATGCCGGCGGGGCGGCGGGCACATGCCGGCAGCGGCGGTCCGGGGCCGCGGAGGTGAGGTGGCGGTGATAAAAGATTACATAAACGGCAGCCGGGACGTGCAGCTCGCTCTGGAAGGGAGTTTCAGCACTGCCTTGCGGTCAGGAAGGTGTCTGAAATCCTCTCCTGCACATAGCTGAGAAAGACCTTGGAATACCCAGCCGTGGTGTTGTTGAGGTTTTCAAAACCTGCTTGTTCTTACAGTGGAGAGAAAACACTTGAGTGCGTTGCGTTGTAAAGGCCAAAGTCTTCATTAGCGTGCGTTTTCCTTCCTTTTGCCTTTGTTTTGTAAACAGACTTCTGTTATGTTTTTCTTCCCACCCTCCCTCCGCGTGTGGCTGAAGAGAAATGAAATCAGATGCAGCAAAGTTTTTCGAGGCACCACGGTGGGGTATTTTTAACCTTACCTTTTATGGTTGCCCCCAGCTTCAGCCTGGCGTGCTCTCCAGTTTGATAAGGGAATGATAGACGGAAATGCAGGAATGAAGACTTGTAGTTTGCTGTCCCGTCTGGTGTACGCAGTTAAGTTCGTCTGGCTTCTTGCAGTTTCGCCTGGGCCAGTGAAGCAGAGGTGCTTCCCCGGAGTTAGGCTGGCTCTGCAGAGTCTGTCTGCAGCGTTGTGTGGCCATATCCTTCGTTCCTATAAGTAACTTCATGTTGTAAGATATCTTAAACTATAGCGATTGAGACTGCGGATACCAAATTGTGCCAAACCCTTTAATTTTACATATCCAGAAATGCAAAAGACCTACCTGTGATGGGAAGCCATTTAGTGAGAGACAAGGAGGTCTGCTTTACAGAGAAATGCGAGTAAGATTTCAAAATATGTTTTCCTAAGTTTGCCATCTTAATGTCTTTTTTTTTTTTTTTTTTGAGGGAAACAATTTGAGTCATTCATGTCACTAGAATCACTTTCTACTTGTTGCAGCCAAACTTCCATAAAGTTTTAGAGGTCCCCAGTGGATAAGAAGAGTAGGAATCTCTCCTTGAGGAGAATGGAATGATTGGGAAGTGTCATTTTTTATATTCATTACTGTGGTCTCTCTTTTGGAGGAGCTGTTTTCATATAAGTATATTGTAACAATGTTTCCTGGACATAAGTGTAATCACAATATTTCTTATAGCTGCATTCATCTTTCTTTCATTATCCCTTTCCCTGAAAGGTTATTAATGGATTTCTTTTCCTCATATTTAAAATGACTAACAGAAATATCCTTGGTAGCTTCAGGACAGTTTTTGTTGTTGTTACTGATTCTGTAATGCTGTGTTAACGAGCTTGCTCTGAAGGATTAAGAAGTGAAAGGTGCAGAAGCTAATATCTGCTTTTTTTAGAAAAAGATGATGGACTCAAGTTTTAGAAAATCCAGTGAAAAAAATTGACCATTGTTTTTTCCTGTCTGAAATTATGATGTAAGCATTAATTAGTATAAATACTATTTAATTGTATTTTAGAAATGGGAAAAAAACCCAAACATGGCAAACTTTAACGCTTCCAGTTATTGTGATTGAGAACATAGGAGTTGATATTTCAAGGTTATGTACTATACAGGAGGGACAATTTGTCCTTGTCCAACAGTAGGAACTTGGTCTGTAATTATTTTTTTTTTTAAGATACAGTATGCTACAGATATTTTCTCATAGACAGCACTGAATATACAAAGTGAAGTACTTTAAAATATTACAGTTCTAAGCTAAAAATACCAAATTTTATCTCTTAAAATCTGAAAATTTGGAAGCAAAATTAGTATGAAACGGATGTGAATTATAAAGTGGAGCATGAGCTTCCTTAGAGAGAACACTGATTAAGTTTTTAGCCTAATTTACATGTTGGAAAAGGCTCATAAGCATCAAGATAACATAAGAAGCATGCCTATTGTTTCTCTGCTGAGGGCAGGTGATAGTAACGTATGGCACACTAAATCAATGAGAACCTGGCCCTCAGCTGTTTATTCTTTATGTCCTTCTCTTGGTACTGAATTAATTTATTTTCCATGTACTTATCCACAGCAGAAGATATCCTTTGCTTTCTTTTGTTCATGAAATATTTGAGTAAAAGTTTAAAAATCTCCTGGAGTTTATCACATAGGATTCTTCTGAACTAGTTATTACTGAAGTTGTATTTAAGTTATTAAGTTAAGTGGGTAACCAGCACTGATACAGTGTTTTTGCTTATTCAGTTCTGATTCTGTAGGTTTTTTTTAGTCATTATTATTTCCTTCCACCAAAGTATCAGAAGATTTTGGAGGGGGGAAGTCTCTGTGAGCAATGGCAACTTTACAAGTGCAAGTCCCAAGACTGATAATGAAAGTCACAAAAGAGCAATTGTTTGTAGGTGTAAAAGTATGTGAAAGATTAATTACATAGATTATTTCAATGGAACCAAAATATTTCCTTGACAGATTTCATCTGTGTGTGTTATTAAGTTAATTCTGGACTTGAGACTTTTGATGGAGCTGGGAACTAAATATCTGAAGTTGAAAGGCACTTGGAAAATTGGAATATGAGTGGGGTTCCATAGCTGGGTCAAGACCATACTGAGTTTCCTAAAGATACTGGGTTGCAATAGAAGAAGGCTTCCCATTCTGCAAAGTTTTTTGATAAATAAAAGTAATTTATATGACTCAATGATATTGTTACTTACCTGTCTAGAAAATACTTAATATTTGCGCTTAGAACTCTCTGGATATCTGTAGTGCAGAAAATTGAGATATCATAAGAGTCAGTAAAGAAATTACACTGTTTACACCTCACCTACTTCTTGGTTGGTATTTAGTAAAGGGAAGGGATTTAGTAGGGAACCTTTTTAAGAGTTCCTTTTTTTTCTTTTTTTTTTTTTTTTTTTAATAATACTTGAGTAAAACTACTCTGGACTTAAGAAATTAATTGTGTCTTAACTGAATTAATTTAAAAAAAGATAAAATGTCTTTACACATCAGTGAAAAGTGCAGTTTCATGACTTGAAGTGCAGTGAAACATGAGTCAAAGGGCATGGCAAATAAATTGGATACTTACATACTATAATACAGTTGTAGTATAATAGTTCAAGTAATAAATAAATAAAAATAAGTTGAATCTGTTTTTCTGAAACATAATGGAATATAATTGTTTAAAATTTAATTTAGCATCCTAATAAAAGATTTTAATTATTTTAAAGAAATGTTTAAGTGGAATAGTTAGACCTGTATAAGTTCTGATGCAAAAGTGGGGATAGAGAGAGACCATACTAAAATAGAATAAAATAATTCAGCAAGATACCATGTGGCTCATGGTGACTGCTTTGGTTTTGACCATTCTATGAACAGGACAGAAAAATATAGAAATTATTGCAGTATCATCTGCTTCAAAGATTTGTATTTAATTTTTATCTTGACTTTTAGTGAGTTTTGCATTGTCTTTCTAGTGTATGTTCATCCCATATATGCTTTAATATGTTTATATATATATGTATTTTTATAAATATGCATGTGTGCACACATGGCCTGCTTCATTTAGCCATGGATAATAGCTGCCCTTCATGTAAGAGAGGTAGTTTAAATAAAGTTTGTACAAGTTGTCCAAGATAGTGTGTCAGCCCTTACGTAGCTGTAGCAGAAACTATAGTAAAGACTTTGTATGTCAGTACATAGAATAAATATGTCAAGAAGGTTGATTGTAAGGGAAATAGAAGTGTTGAAGGTGCTACACTATGCAAGACGTTGAGGCCAGCAACTGTTTGCTCTCCTTCTGTTGAGAGTAATTTCCCAATAGCAGTCTCAGATTGTGAGTTGTGTATATCAGACTTTCACTTTAGAAAGAAATCAGAAAAGTTTGTATAATTGTCTATACTATTTTGTGTGCTTTTAAAGTGCTGCTCTAGTGAAAATTTCTGTTACTCTTCTTCAAAGAAATATTAATTTAGAACTAAGAGTCAACATTGGGTTAAAAACATGAGCAGAATTTTTGTGAAAACTCACTTCTGCAATACAAAATCACATTTCTTTTCACAGGTCTGGAACATCGTTCACTTCCTAATTTCAGGCTTGTTTGCTATGTCAGCAGCGAGATCCATGGTCCTGCAGCTTGAGCTAGTTCTAGCTTGTTTATTTCTGTAACAGAGAACAAAGCATTGTTTAATAAACATTCCAAGTACGTGATAATATCACATCGTCTGCTTGTCTTATTGTGCAAAGACAGCTTTCTTGTAAATGTTCTAGGGCATTCTTAAGGTGAAAGGCTTTTATGGCCTGCCAACATCAGACGTAGAGGCTCTGCTTGCTTCAAAGCTTGTCTTAGGGTTCTAATATTATTTTTTAAAATCAACATATATTTAAGAATTCTTTCTCCATTCAACTGTATGACATGCCCTTCCCCTCTCCTTCCCAAGTAATACAGGTAAGCTAATATATATATATGTACGTGAAAATATGTACGTGTATATATATACATACAGTGAATTCTTATACTGGAATCACTTGCACTTTGCTTAAGAGAAGACTTGAATCACCTTTCTTCTTGGTTACCATTTCTTACAAAGATGCACTCTTATTAATTCCTGTTAAAATGAGGATGAGTGGCATGTGAACTATCATGGACAAATCTCACAATAAAAGTTAGATAAAGTGACTGGTAGGCATAATTCATTCTTGTTGTATCTGAGACCCTCTTATGGTATGGAAGATACTTCTTATTCCCGAGTACAGTCTTTTATTATACTACACTAAAATACCTCTGCAGTGAATAAAAAAAATTGTAAAATTAGTCCAGCAGTTTATTTTATGCAGTTTAATTTTATGCATTTATTTAGAGACACATTTGGGTACGATACTGCTGCCTAGGAGCCTAATTTTCAGCTGAAGTCTGGGTTCCTGTGAGTGTGTAAGAGGATCTGACATCTCTGCACAATATCAGTGTAATGGATGAGTTGCCGGGGGGACAACAAAGAACCAAAGGAAGGACCCCTTAGGAGGGGTGTACACAAGCTTCCCTCCTAAGGTGTCTGGTCAGTGTGAGGAATACTGAGAACAGTAGAAAAGTGAGCCAGTTGCCAGAAAATTTAGTCACTTTCTTCAGACACTTTTTCCATTCCAATATGAAACTTCCCTACCCTCTGCATCCCCTGCCTTTTGTCTTTGAAACTGTGGTTCTCCTGCAGGTGAACATTAACTTAATATCAAAAATAACCTCCAAGTCATCATCCTTCTGCTTGGCTGTAGTTATATTTGGAAGCTCTTTGAAAAGGCCTTTTTTTTTGCCTTTCTATCTCTTTGGGAGCGGATCAGTTCTACAGACTTAGGAGCAAGTCAGTGGTTCTGCAGCTTATTGAGCATTGGGAAGCCAGTGTAACCAAGTATAATCTAATCTGTCTGAACAGTCTGATGTCTAAAATGATTCCTTTTTCCCCCCAACAAAGTGTCAGTCTTTTTAAGTAATGTGGAGAAATACCAGAACATATAGTGTTTTCCTTCAGGAAACAGCAAGTCTAGGATGCTTTAATATATCTTTAAGCTACTTTTGTCCATCATAGCCTGGGTTCTGACTTTTGTGCAGCACAATATCAGAAGGATATAAACCTGTGAGAGAGCATCCAAAGGGGACAGTGAAGGGTGTGGAAGGAGAGCCATATCAGCAGTGACAGCTGGGCTAAGAAGAGTCTGAGGGGAGACCTCATGACAACATCTTCCTCATGGGAGAAAGTGTACAGGCACAACTGATAACTTCTCTCTGGTGACAAGTGACAGGACTCTAGGGAATGGCCTGAAGTTGTGTCAGGTCAAGGTATAGGCTGGGTATTAGAAAAAGATTGCTCTCTCAGAGGATGGTTGGGCAGCGGTCACAGCACCAGCCTGAGAGATTTAAGAAGTGTTTTGATACTGCGCTTGGGCATGTGCAGTAGGGCCAGGAGTTGGGTGGTGATGATCTTTGTGGGACCCTTCCAGCTCAGGATATCCTATAATAGCTGTTTTAAATCTTATTTCCTGATGCAGTGATGAATATGTGATACCTCAAGTCTCCAATGTATAATGTTTATAGTTACTAACAGAGTTCTTTCAGTCCAAAATGCCAGCTGTACTGAGGTCTTAAAACTGATGGAGTTATGATCGCATGAAAATAGTTATTTTATGGGTTGCATGGTTTCTAGTAATGGTATGTGTTACTATGATGGAAGTATGGAGTTTTATATGAGGTTTAACAAGGCCAAGGGCAAGGTGCTGCACCTGGGTTGGGACAACCTCTATTTTCAATCCAGGCTGGGGGAAGAAGGGATCGAGAGCAGCCCTGTGAGCAGGACTTGGGGGTGCTGGTGGGTGAGATGCTGAACATGACCCAGCCACGGGCACTGACAGCCCAGAAAGCCACACGTGTCCTGGGCTGCAACCAAAGCAGCGTGGCCAGCAGGGCAAAGGACAAGATTCTGTCCCTCTGTTCTGGTGAGACCCCACCTGGAACCTGCATCCAGCTCTGGGGTCCCCAGCAGAGGAAAGGCATGGAGCAAGTCTGGTGTAGGGCCATAAATATAATTAGAAGAATGGAGAACCTCTCCATGAGGAAGAGCTGAGAGAAATTCAGTCCGGGAAAGAGAAGTAAGGATTATCGTATTGTGGTCTTGTTCCTTGTTCCTCTTGTTCCTGAAGGGAGCCTACACGAAAGATTGAGAGAGACTGTTTACAAGAACATGCAGTGCCAGGACAAGGGGGAAGGGATTCAGACTGAGTAGGTTTGGGTTAGGTGTTGGAAAGAAATTCTTTACTGTGACGTTAATGAGGTACTAGAATAGTTGTTCAGAGAAGCTGTGGGTGCCCCATCCCTGGAAGTGTTCAGGCTGGGTTGGATGGGGTTCTGAGCAACCTGGTTTAGTGAAAGATGTTCCTGCCCATTGCAATGGAGCTGGAACCAGATAGTCCTTAAGGTCCCTTCCAGTCCAAGCCATTCTTTGTGTTCTATCCTGTTGTGGTGGTGGTACAAGGTGGTTTCAGGTTTGTCTGTGAAGCTAGAAATGGAGAGAGCCAGATGGGAGAAGTATAGTAAGTCTTTGAAATGCTGATGAGGCCTAGGGAGGGCATACACGTGTAGCAGGTGGGCTTCATACAGCCTTTGACACTTCAATCATAAATACATTTTTAATAAAGCTGTGTCTAGGTTTCTATGTTATGTCTCTATATGGAAACACTTCTTTTAGTTTGTTTTTGTTTTCCTTAAAACTGCCTCTATACAGAACTCTCAATTCTGAGAAATGGCTGTAGGAAAAATTGTATATATGGGATTTCTGAACAAGATTTTCTGGTGAACTGTGGACATAATGAGTGAGTCACCAGGTGAGATTGGTTTTTTCTTCAGTTAAAAATATTCTGTGATGAGTAGGTCTGAAGTTCATGCCATCACAATACCAAAATAATTACTGTTACATTTGAACAAAAATTACTACTCAGTCTCCTCTTTTGAATGAGCTTTCGCTCAGATTGCTTTGGAACCTGTAGTAGTAATAAAGGCAGCTCTTTTGACAAGAGGCATTATACTGCTTGAATGTCTTGAAGGGGGAACTGGACAGGAAGGGGCTCAAAAACCTACCAGTAATAAGTGATCATAAATAAATACATGGTTATATTTAGTCTGCAGAATTAAAGACAGCATTTTCAATTATAAGGTGGTGTCTGGTGTTCTGCTGGTTGCAGTGTGATAACTGAATATTGGCTGGGAGTGATGGGCACAGTCTTCTGGCTAAGACTCTTCCTTGAAGCATCACTTAATGATTTGTGGGGAAAAATGTCTTCGGACTGAAATCTCAATATTTTTCATTTTATTTATTTATTTTAAGGCGTGTAATGGTATGATAGTCTAGGCCAGTCTTGGTAAAAGTACTCTTTCATGTAAAACATTTGAAAACATGATAATCAGATTTCAAATTTATATATCTAGCTTTCAGTTATTCTGCTTTTGTTTTCATGTCCATAGTTTTTATTTAATATATTAGCAATTATTAGAGGAGTTGGTTGTAAGGCATGGTCATTTCTGTCAGTGCACGGAAATCTTCCATCTTCAGTTTCTGTGATGCTATTCTGCTCTTGAAACTTTTAGTCAATTAAAATGGTATATTTTTTATCCTTTTATCAGTCTCTTGCTAACAGAATACTTGTTTGTGCTCTTAATTTTGTTGCTATCTTCCTGATTAACTTTTTAATGAGTGTACATTCCTTTTTCTAAGAATTTAATCCTTGAATGCTGCTTTCTTATGCTAATTGGATGATTCTCCTCCCTTGTTCTTCTCACTTGTTTTCACAGGTTTCTCCAGTATTTAATCTTTTGCTCTATTTTTATCTGTACTCAGTATCTAATAAAACTTCCAAGAAGATGGGAAGAAATTTTGACTCAAGCAAGACTTAGTGAACTGGATCTGTGAATGTATTAAGATATATCAACATACTCAGTGACAATATAAACTTTAGAGAATAGAATTCATGCAAATAACAGGAGATTCAACAAATCTGAGAGGACAGTTTTGCTTCTGTATAACTAAGCTTCATGTTGTTAATCTTTTGATTTTTGCCTCTACAAAGTGCTTGCTAGATGTTTTAGTAAAATTTTAGCTCCTCAATTCTATTCCCCCTTTTCAGAAATTTCAAAAATTAGAAGAAAAACTTCTAAAGTCTCTTTCTCCACTCTAAAAAATACATTACTTTTTTCTATTTTGTAACAACTTTGTTTTTTATGCTTTTACAATTCTTTTAGATGCCTTTGTATCTCCACTTTTTTTGGTTTTTCTATGACGAACCACTCTTTTCTTGTTATGCAAGTCTTATGATGCACTTGTAAGCATGGAAAAAGAGCAATTTGCCGCTTCTATTGCTCGGTTTTAAATTGCAGACATCTGTATTTTCTCTGCAAAGACCTCTTCTGACTATCTAGTGTTTACATGGATAGAATACATGGATTATACTGTTTCATACTTCACTGCTTTGTTGTAAGTAGATGAAGCTTTGCATTATTTTGAAGTGGTTTTTTGTTTTCTTTGGGTGTTTTTAATTTTTTTTTTTTATATATACTGTAGGCATACGCATCAGGATGTGATATTGTGATACTGGGGACTGACTTTGAAAGATTACAGATAATCCCTGGAGCTAAACATGGAAACATACAAGTGGGATGTGTGGACTGTTCAATGCAACTGGGCAAGGTATGTAGAGCAGTGTTTCTAATAATGTTCCAGCAATGTCATGTTAAGCACCTTTTTAGGAATATGTATACTTGCAAGTTAGGGCATATATACTACAATGAATAGTAAAATGACTGATTGCTTTCTATCTTTACTTGTAAGCAGCACAGTAAATGTGAAATAGTAATCATAGATATGATAGATGGTTGTAGAAGATAGGACTGCGCAGGACACTGTGGATTCTGTGTCAGTTCAGGACAAGAAATTGACTAAGAGATTACTAAGTTGGAAGCAAAAGTAATTTATTCACTATGGCTTTGCACCACTGGACATGTCATTGACATGCTTTGACATGTTAGTGGCTGGCAGGAGATGAGCTTCCACAAAAACCACTTTCAGATCATCCAGAAAAATTACATCTGTTTCAAGCAATTCATAAAGCCTCTCTTGGATGGGGTTTGCTTTCTTGAATTCTTAGCTTTTGCTTTTTTGTTAGTAGGTCTGCATCAGAATGTTGCATTTTAGACAACGTTGGGTTTTAATTCCTTTTAAGAGAGCTTTCTTTTTTTAATTTTCCTGTCAGAGTGAAAAAGAAATAACCAGGTGACTGTTCAGTGGGATGTCACAGTTCCATAATACCCCATTGAAATGTCACAGGGATTAAACTGTTGTCCAATTGAGTGGGAGCTCTGGATAACTATTTGTTCATGTAAGAGGGGTTTTCTACCTCTGTTGTTTCTTTAGGCTTGTTCTTGTGAGTAGATAATGTCAGCTTTCTGCTCATTACTAGAAGCCTTATGAGCTGAGGAGAGCTTTGGTTATATCCTGGTGTCCATCTTGAGACAAGACCTCTCATGGAAACCAGTTTGTGTCTGTATGAACACTGTGCTGATGAAGCCCTAGCCACACCCTGTTCTGCTTTTTAGCGTTTGAGTGATAAACTCTGGCAGTTCTAGTGAAGGAACACAAACGAAAATGAGGTAATGTTCTTCTCTGTGTATCTGGCACCTCATAGCCATAGTTTGCCTGGGTTTCTCCAATATCTGCTGTTAACTAGAAGGTTTTTGGGTTTTTTTTTGAGTTCACTAAGCATTATTTCTCTCAATTTGCAAGGTCATCTGGAGTGCATGATACCAATTTTGTATGCATTTAAAGGAAAAATTGTCCTTGGATTGTAAATTAAGGCACTTGAATATATCACACTGTAAGGCTTACTAAGCTTCAGAGTTTTCTCATTTCTTAAGTAGACCTGTGAGGTCATTTAGAGTCTGCCAGTTGGTATTGTTTGCTCTAAGGAAATTGGATGTGTTTCTTAAACACTGAAGTACTTACTAAACGGTGGATGGCTAGGAATTTGCTTATTGACTAGACTGATCAGTGCATTTTCAGGCCATTCTTAGAAGGCTGGAATTTTTTCTTCGACATTCTTGATCACTACTGACACACAAATTCCACTTTGTTTTGTCAAAATGTACAGTTCCAATGCTCTCAGTGTGTCTTCATAGGAGAAGTACTCCAGCTCTCTGACCATTTTTGTGTCCTTTCTTTGGACGCAGCATGTCCATATCCGCCTGGTGCTGAGGATACTGGATGTGGTACTCCAGCTGATGTCTCACTAGGGTAGGGAAATCATCTCCTTCACCCGACTGGCCACCCTTTTTTTTGGAGCAGTTCAGGACATGGTTGGCTTCCTGGGCTGCAGACGCATGCTGCCAACTCGCGTACAGTTTTTTTTATCCTTAATATCCCCAAATCCATGTCCACAGGGTTGCTCTCAGTCTGTTAATTTCCCTAGTCTGTGCTAATGGTATGGATTCTGACTGACCCAGGTGCAGGACCTTGCCCTTGGAGACTTGTTGAAGTAGATGATGTTTACATAGCAGCACCTCTCTAGCCTGACAAGTTCCCTCTGGCTGGTGTCCCTTCCCTCCAGCCCGTCACCTGCCCCATACAGCCAGGTGTTGTCAGGGAACTTGCTGAAGGTGCTCTTGATCCCCCTATTATTTTTGGCAGAGTGCAGCTGAGTGAAGACGTGAGCTGAGTTACTGTGAAAACTAGTGGAAAGTTTTGGGAGCAGCAGTTGCTCTGGACACTACAAGTTGAGCATTTTTGAATGCTAATCTTAGTTTATCTTTTAAACCCACTGAACAATAAAATAGGGGGAAAATGTCCACATTTGAAGGAAAGGAAAAGAGAAAAAAATCTAATCTATATGAGTTTATATAAAGTTTTGCTGTTGGGTATAGAATGGAATTATTAGAGAATACAACAGTAAGTGAGGTAGTTAAAGAGGGTTAGAGAGGGCAGATATTAGTCTGCAAAATGCCTGAAGAAACCTTTTCATTGCAAATGTGACAAAATTATTCTTGGCATTTTTGGGTCAGGCTGATTTTAGTAGGATGGAAATTTATTTAACTATCTGTTCTTCTAATATAGAGGGTTTCTCTTAAAGCTATGGATCTGTGGATTTTAAGATATATATATATGAATCTCTATGTTTGTATAGCTCTTAGGCATGACAGTTTAGTCTATTCAAACTTTAGTGGTTGATATCAAAATATATTTTATAAAGCGAATCTTACTTTTTATTATTGTTAAAGGAAGACTGAATTCTTTTAAGTCAGAATTTTACAGAAATAGAAGATTGATTATTACAGTGTATTATATCTGTAGATGTTCTCCTTTTAACTATTATCACTTCAGAATGCAGAATGTCTATTGTTAATGACCTATGCAGACTCATTAATTTTTGTAAATCTGTAATTCAGAATAGTTTTTGGCAACATTGTCGTATGACAGTTCTCTCACGCTCTCTGCCTGAGATCTTTAACATACATTTGGCTTGTTTTGGCTCTTCTTAGCAAGTCTTCTAGGCTTGCTTTTATATAGATACCTTGAGACCAGATATTATTAATTTTGTCTTAATGCAAGTTTGAGGTGGGTGATATTCTGTGATGAAATAAGACTTTCAAAACTGACCATATTGCAACTTTTTTTGGACTGTTTCATGTTAGCCTTTATTTACAAGCCTTTGCTTGTTTTATTTGCAGTTTTCTGCATTGGGTGTTTTCTTTGCATAGTTTAAGTCTTTTGAAAGAACTTTTAAAAAGGCAGCCTGTTTGAACACTAGGGAAGTAAACAAAAGTACTCTCATTGTATACTGGTTTCTTGTCTGAGAATGTGAACTCTGCAGACTGTTTTGAGTGTTTATGTAGTTTAATATGGGAAGAATATTGCTAATAATCTAATTTTTAAAAATTGTCCAGCTATAGTATCAGTAGTTTACCATGATTAATGAGTAAATGGAAGATTGTATTTTTATTATTGGCAACACCAGCTTAGTGGTTTTGAGTAAATGTAATTTTCTGTTTTCAAAAGGAAATACAGATTTGAGCTTCAAATTTATCTACAAGCGGGGTTAAAAGTAAAATCAATCATTTGCATCTTAGTTTTGTTTGTTCAGCTTGTTTCTTTTATGTGTGTTCATATACATATAAATGTATATTACTTTAGATTGCAGCTTCTTATGGAAAGGTGATTTGTATCTTTGAGCCAGTTAGTGTCTTGAAGCAGAACAGCAGTCTTCATAATGTAAGTATTTCATCAGTCTTTAATTTATTTGAGCAGTTAAGCCTGACAAATTTTATTTTAAAGTAAAGTTTGTTTTAAAGCTAGAGTTCTCTCGATGTCTTCTTTTAATGCTAGAATAAAGCTGAGACTTAAAGGTGGTCCTTGGGAAGTGAACAGGGTGGGATAAGGACAGATGCCTGTAATTTAAAATAGTTTTAAGGAAGATAGACTTTACTGTAATGCTTCATATTACTTGCTTATGCAGGTAATAACCAAATAACCCTGCAGTTCATAACTAAAATATACCAGAACCCAAAAAGATGTACACAGCCCCATTCTGCCATGAGTGTAGCCATTAAAATAGGAATTCCTTTTTGAACCATCCTGTGTAGCCTTTATGTTTTTTCAGGTGTTTTACAGTTCTAACATTAACTTTTGCTTATGAAATTACATGCCCCTTCCCAAATTGTAATGGTTTCAAAAATCTGTGGCTTTTTTAGACTATCTGACTGAATTATTGTACTTCAGTGTTATAATGGTGAAAAGAAAAATACTTATTCTTTTGGGACTTACTTTTGGTGACAGTGGTTTAGCGATTAATATCCAGAATCTTAATTTCTGAATAATAATATGATTTAGGGCAAGTTATTTAATCATGCTTCTTAGATGAGGAGGCATATGGCTATAATTAGAAGCATTAGGTTCTAATTGCAGTCAGTTTGTTGATATAAGAACTTTGACAGCAATTGCACTAGGAGCTTCTGTCTCCCTCTTCAGGGGTTTGGTCACCATTTGCATTAACAAATTGTTTATATGACCATCTAGTGGATTCTCATCTTTTTACTAACCGACTCAGTCATAAGATTCTGGATGTACGTGTAAACTTGTGGTATATTATGTATTAGTTGAATAGCTGGAAATGAACACCTACATAATAACTTACATCACCGGAAAGCAGTGGAATAAAATTACAGTAATATGTGAGTTCTCATGCTTCTATGAACACTTTGGATATATTGCTCTTGTTTATGGTCTATCCATCCTGAATGTTTTTCTATACTGGTAAAGAGTACACTTAGTTTGAAATTTCAGGGTTGGAGTAGTAACTGTAAGCAGTAGAGGAAGCACTCAACCACCCACAATTTGCTTTCAGATGTTTTTAGTTGAAGAAATATTCTGTTACTTCATTCTTTCAGTTGACTTTTATGCAATGGTTTCTAGCATATTGTTCAAAGTTACTGTAAGATTGTCTCTGTCTTCCATTTACTGGAATGTTCAGTGTCTAAAAAAACCCAAAACAAAAAAAGCTTTGCAAATACTCTGTGTAAATCCTTATCTGCAGCTGCTTCTTACTGTCTTTTGCCAAACTTCTGAAAGACTTAGTTGTCATATTTTAACTTCACTTCTATTCTGTCTGGTATTTTTGGGGTGGCGGATGACTACTTTTAAGAAAGTCTGTGAATTAAGAAAGAAACCTGTTGGGTCCTAATATTATTTCCAGAAATGTTTTCAGTTTCTTCTATAAATCAAAATACCAAACTTTTTTGGCCTATTACAGAAACAGACAAGATAAATATTTTATAAACTTAATTGTGGACTTGCTCTAGAGAGTGAAGTAGTGATGCAAAAGTGAAAAATACTTGACTGTCCTGTTGTATATTTAAAAACAAAGAGTGGAGGGAAGGTATCATGTGTTGTCTTGACTTTTCTGAACCACTAATTCAGCAATAGTACAGATATCAAACACCAGGTGCCTTTAACTTGTGTCAGTGTAGATATCTTTTCTTTGTTTCAAAAATAAAATCTTATGTCCTCATAAAAACATTTTCAGATTCCAGTAGTGATTTTTTTCAAGCTAAACTTTTAAAATAAGAAGTTAAAGACCTCATAAATATGGCCATATTAGTGAAAAGCTATTTTGTTTTAAAGTCAGAATGAATCAGTTTTTATTAGATAAGCATAACATGTTAAACATCTTCATAAAATCTGGAGAATGCAGTGAAGATGTACTATTTATATTATAAAAAGAGGATGGAGGAGGATGAAGAGTTTTCATGCTAATGTTTGTAAATACTTAAAATTTCAGGTGTTACATTACCAGTGGCAGAAGAATGCTCAAATCTCACTGGAAGCCGTAGTGCATAATCTGACATGGGATCCCACAGGTACGAACGGGTTAAAAGAAACACTTTTCTATTTGATACTGCACCTAGTTTTTTAAATTTTAATTCTGTCATTCCTTGTGGACAAGGAAAAGGTTTTTGTTCTGTCCTAGCTTGATAGAGAATACTGAAGTGGAGGCAATGTACCTTTTGTCGCTTATTATAGGAGAACTAACATACTAAGGGCATCTGTATGGTCTGGCTTGAATACCCAAAAAAACTCTAGAAAAGGTGTATCTACCAGATTATCTTCTGCAGTTTCAGCTTTGCAGAACTTTTTTTCTTTCTGTCTCTGAAAAAGTCTATTGTTTGCTACTTGCTTGTTGTTAGATTTCCATAAATATTTTTTCCAGGTACTCGCCTTCTGACTGGTTCCAATTGTCTTCAGCTTTGGTCCAATATTCAGTTGGAAAACACTGATGACAATGACAATACTGAAAGAGCAGGTGTTGGACTTGGAGAGTGGAGATGTATCTGGCAATGCAAGTAAGGACCATTTAAGGACAAGTAATTCCCTTTTCTTTGCTGATTCATACCTTTGAGATTAAATACTTAGTATAGTTACATGAAATGCTATTGCATACTGTTACTTGATAAATATTATTGATGTGAGATAAACTGTAATCATATTGTATGTGACATTCTTTCCTCTTATAAGATCAGTTGCAAATGGTTTTGGAGCAGTTCTTCAGTTACAGAGAACACTAGAAAAATACTGAGGGAAGGCTAATACTGAAGCTCTCCAATAGGCACTCTTCCTTGTAGAAGAAATAAGGTGAAAGCTGTGTGATTGCTGGCAGGACTGATTGAAATATGCTTCCTTCTATGTTCAGTGTACTCCATTGTTATTTTCTTCTCACACATCCCCCCCTGCTTTTGCTCCTATTTTTTCTAGGTTTATTCTGCATATTTGTAACAATCAAGGTTTATACATTATCTTTTCTATGTCTCTGAATTCTCTTCTTGTATTCATGTTGATTTTGATATTTGCATTTGTATACTGTACATTCAGAAGAATTTAGTTTAGTACTTAAGTTTATAAGACAATTTAAAGCATTCTGCCATAGATTGACTTTTCTAGTACAGTGGGGTGGGTACATTGTTCATGTGGGAGCTGTGTACCATATGTCCATCTCCTAAAGAAGTTTCTTGAAGTGGCTGACTGGGCAGACCCACTCTCAGAGTGTCGGGATGACCCCAGGATTGTAAAAATCCTTGTTTCCCAGCACGTGCAGCCAAAGAACGAGTCTGAAATGCGTAAGATCAGCTTCTCAGGGTTGTTTATTCTTCTTTATCACTAACAATCTTTCTCTGATGGGCTGAGGTCTAGCAAGTTGGTCATGGCGTTCTTTGTGCCGCTTCAGGCAGCGTTTACATTTTATACTAAAAACTACAAGTATTATGTTAACAATATTGTGCCAATATGTATCATTTATGTTAGACAGTGTATCTCTGCCTTAAACCAATAGAAAAGTGTCAATATCATACCAAGACATGGAGGACAAGAAGGAGAAGAAGGCCCAGGACAATCCCAAATCCCTCCATCTTGACCCCTGAACCACATTCTAAAAACCCCAAAATTCTACTTTTTCACCCTATGTTAACTCAACTATCACGTTACTCAAACCCCTGTAGCTTGTAATTCCTCATACAAAGTTGGCAGTTTTTTCCACAGGCTAAAATCGAAGCCACAGGTGTTTTTGACTTCATGCCAAGGTCTCCGATCCACCTGCCAGGGTCTCGAGACAGCCAGGGCAGCCAAAGGGATGTCCCTGGATTCCAACAATGCACCTGAAGTTAATCTTTGTGAAGCATTTAGAATTCTAGTAGGTAGTTCTACAGGTAGCTTTCTGGATGTACCAGAAAAAGATCCATTTTATGATCTCTCAGTGGTTCCTTTTTCTACATACTTGAACTTTTATCAGTAGTGATGTGTTTAAAAACCCAAGATCATCCAAATGACGGCTGGAAAACCTTTCTTCATGTGTGATGAACTTTCTAAATACAAGGACTTAGAGACTTACTCTATTTTTTGCGATATATTTGAGTGCTCATCTCTCAGCCTAACAAGAGAAGTCAGGCTGTAGACAGAATGCCATTCAGTATGGCTTTAGAATCTGGGGTTCTGGTAATAGTAGTCAAGATCATACAGAGAGTACTTTTCTTCTGTCCCTTCTGTAACAAGTATTGCATTTGTATCATGTATAAAGACTTAGAGAAGTCTTCTCTGCTCTCCACCTCTTTTCCTCTTTTAAACTCACTTTGTTGGAGATAGAGCTAAGTGTTGCTTTCTTTGAATGAGTAGGTCCTGAAAAGAGTCAACGGAACTTGCTTTTTTTGGATACCGTTGATGTCTGTATGTCTTCTGGCATTTATACTGCAGTTAGATTTAGACTAGATTTTTCTTGTAGAGAAGTCTGCAATAAATTAATTTTGCCCCTGCAAATAACCTGTTTTAATGCCTGAATGAAACATTCCCAAATGGTTTCATATTTACCCCAGCAGGAGAATTTTGGTTAAACCTGGCTGGACTTCTTTGATACAGGGCTCTTGTAATTGCCTTGCTCCTGTTACTGCACATAAATGCACCCTGCTTTTATTGACCTTAATTTGACTTAATCTCTTTTGAAAGTTAGGCCTCAACAACTTCTTACATGGGTATTAAATTCAAGATTAAAATGTACACTGTATCTGTCCTGTTCAGTTAAAGTTTTGTATGTTCTTGTTGCTATTAATAAGCTTTGTTACTTAGCTAATAATAAGTGCTTCAAACCCTGTGAAAGAGCTCATCTATTAGTACATCCAATTAAAGTAAAACGCTCCAAAAGTTAACCACGTCATTAGGTTTAGAATATTTTGTTGTCACATCTTAGAGCAGTGTTCCCATTCATGTAAAAGCTACTTTCAGACACTTAAACTACATCATTCCTTTTACACTTGAGTTATATTTTCTTGAGTTGTAATTGTAGGGAATATGGGAAGTGAAGCTGTCTTTCAGAGAAGTTGGAAGATAATATGGTACTAAAAGACCAGTTTGAGAGCCATATAATCCTACTTCCATCGAAATGGAAGTAGAGCATTTTAAGCTATTAGCAGCTGCTTTTCTGCTTTGATATTTCTGAATATTGGATATTCAGCTACAAGATTCTGGTTTTCTGGGTCATGACAACCATGAGTTGTACATGAGTTTATATCTTAGTCTTTTGCACTTTGTTAAAACTTAACTATTTCACACAACAATACACACTTGTACTTAAAAATTTTTTATACATTCAAGGAAAAGAATGTTTAGAATTTTATAAAAGTTGTTAAAGTCGTTTTTCTCTTTTTAATTGTCTTTATTCCATAGAACTGCTTCTCAAGTTTGTTTAATGAAGTTCTCACCAGATGGAGAGTTTTTTGCTACTGCTGGAAAGGTAAGCATTTTTTTCCTTATAGCTTTGTACTAATTCAGATAAGCTATTAAAGCAAACCAACAAAAACATATTAAAAAAAAAAGGTTATTTAATGAAAATTTTTTTTTCATAATTTTTGTGTAGTCTGTCTGTGTGTCTTTACATCTTGGTAAACATGAATTTGGTAGAAAGGTAGTGTGAGGCAGGTAGGTGACATACTAAATATTCACTGCTTTACTATTCTAAAATACTGATTTTTAATGATGCCAAATTATAAGACATCAGAAAAAAAAGAGTTTTGGGGAATTGTGGAATCTGTGGATGATATCACTGCTAGCTATCCTACTCTAGTGAGGAAGTATAATCAAAATAACAAAGTCTATTAAAAATAATGAAAAATAGCTCTTTCATATGTTTTTGTGTAACTATATGTGTATGTTGTTTTGTGTCCATAGAAGAGGTTCACATTCCCCTCCATATTGGCACATGATTCATGACGGTGTTTGTGGCCTATCTCGCTAGTTAGTTCCATGTGCTCAATATAGAGCAGTTTGTCAGCAAAAGCAGAACCCCTTGGCAAAATAAGCAAAAAAATTAAAACGAAGTGTCAGTCTTTTGTTTTCCTGAAACAAACTAATCTTTTATTTAACCAAACTTGTTGTTCAGGTTTTAAAAGACAATAATGTCTTTTGAAGTCAAAGCAGAAAAAAAAAAATAAAGATCATGTAGAGGATCCAGTGAACAAATGTGACAAACCCGTATGAGAATTTATATTACTTGTTAAGGAATATGAATGGGAGAAGTAGTGCCTCAAATTTCTGCTGCCATCTAAAGAACCTAGGAGAGGCTGCAGAGTTACTAGATACAAAACAACATGCTAGTATGTAAGATTAAGATCAGTTGCTGAACTAGTGAAAACCTGGTTTAAGTGTCACAGAATCCAGAGCAGAATTAACCTGACAGAACATGTTTCAGACTGAAGAATAAAAGACAGTTTTGCAATTTGTCCTAGTCTGTCTTGGGAGCATGAAAGAAAAATTAGTGTGTACACATAGTAAGTGGTTAGAGCAGTGTTTGATTTAGTACTAATGTGGAACTTGACTGTTTGGGTCATAGTAGCCCTTAATACATGCTTGAAAGACAAAGAGTTGAAGGTGATTCAGTGACGTTCCCCCCTCTCAGCCCCCTTAATTATCAGGCTAGCCCAGAGATCCGAGGCTTTGAGGGGAGGAACATCAGGAGATGGCAGAGATTTCCAGAAGAGGCTCTTACCCCAATATATGTTGGTGCAGCTCTCTTTATTCTGTCATGTCCATGGGGAGAGCGGGGCAAAAGAGAATGAACAGGAAATGTCAGGGATTTATCTAGAGTTTGGACAAGGTGGGCTTCTCTGGCTCTCCGCCAACCCCATTGGGGCAGGAAGGAGAGGTCCAGGGTTATCTTGATCAGAGTCACAGGGTCCTGGGGAAGGGGGAATAGAGTACCCATGAGCTCACTGTAACAATTCAGTCTGCAAATAAATCTTGCTTTTGAGAGGTAGTTGTCATTCATAGTTTTGTGATTCAGTTATGTGTATTAGGAACAGATGAGTAGTGCACATCTTTATCAGTTGTATGTGTATGTTTTTCCTTTAAAGTTTACCATTTCAGGTCATCATGCTTGAGTGGAAGAATAACTTTTAAGACATTTTCTATCTTTAAAGACTAAGATGTAACAAATCTGTAAAATTGCCTAGATTTTCTTTTCTAGGGAAACTGTACTCCAGTTAACAAGCTTCCATCATGTAAAGTGAAATACTACACTTTCTTCATGATCGACTATTATCTGTATAAAAACAAAGCAATAAATTCTCATGCTCCATTCTTTTTGTGCTTATTTGTATGTTGCATTTCTTGCTGTATATTCTGTGATGCTTTTAACCGTCACAGAAAGGAGAGCCATTCCAGCCATTTTTCAAATAAATAAAATTTTCTGAGTTTGTTTTATGTAAAAAGCAAGTGTTTTGCTATTGTCAACAATATATATGTATTCCACCTTTTTTTGATGGATAGGAGTTAATTTTACAAGTCAAATGTAAATGGTTTAATGGTTTCTAAAGTTACAATTTGATGTAATGGTGGAAAAATTAATTAGTCTGCAAGTAGGTTATATAAGGTTAATATTATTTCAGAGTTTTTGACTCCAATATCTTATGTCCTGTTATTTTAGATTATAAATTCCTTCAAAGCGAATTACTGAATAAGTAAGAAAATTAGTAAGTAGGAAAATCAATAAATAGCATGTTTTTTACCATAAATGCTTAAGTTAGTTATCTGCCTGGAGAACCTTTAAGCACGTCTTTGCTTCTATGTCTTACACCTTTACTTAACTTTTTGTGAGGGACAATGCTGGTCAGCAGCACCAACCTATCCTCCCCCTAGTAGGGTCATGTTATGCATATGCAGGTTACTTCAATATTTTAGTGCCATTCACATTTAATAGTTGATCAACAACTTGTGAATCTGGGTCCAGATTAATTTATCTAGTCCTTGAAGGCATAATCAATTTATGTGTGTATCTGAAAAAAGCAGTTTGAGCACTACTGGGCTTGGGTTTTGAGATAACATCTCTGACCTTTGTTTGTTTTCCTAACAGTTAAATTCATGCAGGGGGTTTGGGTGGTTTTCTGACAAGGTAGAATTAGTTGCATTAACATTTGAATGCCATCTCAAGCTAGTGCAAGTTGTGGTTTTGGGATTAAAAATTGGCAGCTAATCAGAAGGGTCTATATGAAATCCAAGTTAGTAATGACAGGAGTTAGGTGGAAGCTCTGCTCCTGTGTTTTCTTTAAGATCATGTTTTGAAGTTCCTTTTATGGAACTGTTCCTCTCTGATCAGAAAAGCATTTTACTTTAAAGAAAAATGAAACCTCAAGAGATGTACTCTAAAGTACTTGAAGTGCATCACATTCTTACACAAGGTAATCTTATTTACTGTCTATTTATGTCTTTCCACAGGATGACTGTCTTGTGAAAGTATGGTACAATGCAGAGAGCTGGCGGTCAGCCGTATCACCACCTGGTGCCAGTCCAGAAAACCAAGCAAAAGAGCTTGATTTTTCATTTGTTTATTTGGCTCATCCTCGATCAGTAAATTCATTTTCATGGAGAAAGACCAGTAAATTTATGCCACGGTCAGTAGTTCTAATACCTAGTTCATAAATTGCCCCAAAAAAACCCCAGACTGTACAGTCTGCCTCTCTCTAACAGTCAGTAGTCACAGAATTATGTTTAACTTCAGTTATTGAGTATGCACACCTTTTATATTGTTTCTGCTCTTGAGAGGATGGCAAGTATCCTCTTACCTGGGAAAGAACTGAAAAGATAGAAGTCTCAGAGACTGACTTACATATTGAACTAAATACAAAATCAGCTCTTGAAAAGCCATGTCTCTCTGGTTGATTAAGTGGACATTCATGCATTTAATCCTGACATATCCTGATGGAATCAGAGCAAAAATCCTGTGAGCTGAAGTCCTCTTTCACAAACATTCAAATATTTTCATGTCTTTTTATTTGTTTCTCTACCTAGTACAAAGATAGACCTCTGTCAGAAATAGTATCTGGAAAGTGAATTGAAGTAATCATTTGGAACTGATACCTTTATTTTGAGGTATTAGGGTTGTGTTCAGAAGATTCCAAAATGACCTATCTCTAGTTTTCACCAGTACTTTCAGTCTTAAACTGAAATAGTGTTAATATTTTTGTGGCCTGCAGCCATCTTTTTGCCATGTTATTCCAAACAGTGAACAAATTTGCGTTCCTTTGTATTGAGCAAGTTTATGTTGTTCGTTATACTAGTCTTTAAGACTCTTCATAAATCTATAGTTCTTACTCTGTAGGTCACTTGCAAAAATCCACCTGCTCCATGATTCCTAAGGGAATTTGCTGCTGAACAATCTGGTCATAGCTTTCGAGCTGTATGTAGAGCTAAATTGTGAACTAGTATGACCTGGAAAAATTATGATCTGCATAGTTTTTTCTAGTATCTAGTTGAGGGTAGTTGAATTTTTTGGCTATATATTTAACACAAGTTACACTTGGAAAGTAGTAACTAAGGAAAACTTGTAGATTTAAATTTTCTGTTGTTTTCCTGGTATTATTTGAATTTCTGGATATATATTATTTTGTAAGTGGTAGATACCAGTAAGATCTGGAATAACGATCAGGTATTCAGAATATTATTCGCTTTTTATGTGAATAACTTTAAAAGATAAAAAATTACATTTTGCTATTCTAGGTATGGATTTTTCTTTAAACTAAAATCCACAATTTGCTGTTGCACTATTTTGTGATGACGTTTGAGGTGATTTATGGTCACATACTTGAACAGAGGGGAAGGTCTTTCCTACTTCAATTATTTTCCTAAAAATATATTGATGAGTTTTTCTTGCACTGGTATCTGTAAGTTGGTGCGATTCCAAAGACTGGTAGTGGAAAACTGTTTGGAAATGTTGGTTTATTTTGATGCTGTGTAATAGTTAGCAGCTTCTTCACTCCTTAAATTTTCTTTCATTAGTGGTGCTGTCTGCAATGTACTCCTGACTTGCTGTAAGGATAATGTTTGTCGTCTCTGGGCAGAGACTTTGTTACCCAATGACAGTCTGTTGTATGGGGGAGGATACAGCAATTGGAGTGAAGCAGCGAACTTCACAAACAACTTCAAGAGAAATACTTCAAGTAAAGAAAAAGCGCATAGTGCATTGGAGGTAAGAATTGAAACTGAACAGTGAGAATAAACACACATAAAAACCTGTGATCTTAGACAAGTTTGTAATTTGTAACTCAGACATGTATCACAAGCTGAAATTCTTTATACCAGAGATGTGCATAAAATGTTATGAAAGGGTGAATTTCCTTGAAATCTTCCTTGGGCAGGCTAAGCTGACAGCTCTTTTGCTGAGCTTCTCATATTGAAGACATGAAGACATATTTGGAAGTTGTTCCAAAGTCACAACTGCTTATTTCTGTCTGGTGACTGAAGAATAATGCTTTGCAGTATTTAGTTCAAAGGGCTAGGAGCAGTATGGAGCACACATATAGGTTGTGTGAACCCCGGGGGTGATGCTGCCTTAAGACATGTGGTAGGGGCTCACTTGTTACCTCTGAAGTTGTGGGATGCTCTCCCTGACTTCTGCAACTGAAAAAGCAGTAATATGGAGGGAAGAAAAACAGTCGTTCTGCTGTAGTCCTCAGAGCTGACTGCTCATAAGCATTAAGGCAAATGATTCTTACCAGGTAGTGTTTTCTTACCAGTATGAATCAGGAAGAAAGTGTAGCATTAATGGTCTGCTTCAAAGGTATGTAGAGTATATGTGGGCATTGTGCTTTTATCTTAATGGAATGATGTATTTAGCATGCTCCTAGTGCATGCTATACCTGGAAAATAGTGCAGCATACCTGAAAAATATGACAGGCTGAAAGGCACAACAGAGAAAAGGAAATAGTCAAAGAGAGGAGGAAAAAGGAAGCTGGAGAAATTTCTGTGTTCCTGTGGAAAATAAGAGGCAACATTAGAAATCAGAAACAGCAATTATGTGATAATTGAGAGAAGACTGTTTGACATGCTTATGCTGTATAAAGATGGAAAGCACAGCTAGTGGAAAGGAATGCCAAGAATGTAACACCATTTTTAAACCAGTTGTGTACCTTTGGGTGCTTACATAGATGTCTACAGCACAAAAGGCTTGAACTGTGTAAGTCAGTCTTAAAAACTGAATATTATTCTTCCCTTTGGAAACAAGTATTTGTATAAAAGAAGAAGACCTTAGAACTCACTGGGGCGTTTTGTGGGAGTTGAAGTGCTGATCTGATTAGATCCAAAGTCCGGATCCAGTTTTTCATGAAATGAGACTACTCAGTATTGCTGTTTTGTTCAGAATCTTGAATAAGCATGGTGTATGTTTATGAAAAACAAGAGTATTTTCTGTGTAAGTGTAAAAAGTGTATGAACATAGTCTGTGCACTGAAGTGTGAAGTAGTTATTACATGAAGTTATTTTATGGGCCTTCATAAATAAATCCAAAGGCACTGGTTTCTCTCTACTGCAGACTCAGCAGAAGTTTGCAAGAAACTCCACTGATTCTTTAAATTAGCTTTTAAGCTGAGAAATATCATTCATTAGTGCCTAGAAAACCACTTGCAGATTAAATCTGCTTTATATTTTTGAAAAGATTTTAAATTATGCCTTATTCTTCATGCAGTTAAACCTGAGGCACTTCCGACGTGGAAGGAGGAGGTCAGGTGCTGTTGTAGCACATACTGGATATGCTCTGCATCAGCAAGATCCTCATGAAACTCATAGGAACATTCCTCCTCATGCAAATGCCCTTTGCCACTACCATATTGCTGCCAGTATCAATCCAGCCACGGGTAAGAAATGTAATCCTTGCTATGAAGTGAACTCTAGTTGCTGTTAGGTATGTGTTCTCGCTGGAAACTTAGCAGATGTTTTTGTTCAGTGTGACATTCACATTCTCTGGACAGAGAGACATATTTCTGTCTCTCAGGATTTCTTGGAGAAGGACAGAGAGAAGAAGATAAAACAATCTTTATCTCTGCTCCTTTGTTTTCCCCATGTGGAATGTGCCATGGAGATTGTTTACCTGATTGATTGATTGATTGATTGATTGGATTCTGGTGAAGGTTGTTTGGGTTCAATGACCAATTGGATCCAGCTGTGTCTTGGACTCTCAGCAGAGAGTCACGGGTTTGTTAGGTAAGTAAGAAGTAAGTATGTAGAATAGTATAGTATCTCTTTAAATAGTATATTAAATAGTATATTAATACAATAGTAATTATAATACAATGTAGCTTTAATAAAGCTATCCTTCAGCCTTCTGATCTGGAGCCCAGACATCATCATTTCTTCCCTGATCCGGGGTTCACTGTGTTTCACTATAGTTGAGTATTTATATAATCATGCAAAATTGCTAGTATGTTGGTTTCATTTTTTTGTGAAAGAACTTTATACAGTAATGAAATTATTTGAATAAATTTCCACTGCAGTAATCTTGTCTTTTATGTTGTTCATCTTTTAAGTCAGACTGATAGTGTCTAAAATGGAGAAAGCTAAGTATTTGTAACTGGAGTTAAAATTTACTGGGAATTTACTATGATACTGGGAACACACTGATAAAATAAAAAATGTCTAAGCTTCTTAAAATGAACACTGACACTTTAGTGCTGGAATAACCACACATTTGTGTACTTCTGTCTGTGAACCAAACAAAACATGACTTCACCCTGTATTCCATAAACTTTGATATTGCCTTGCACTGGAACAACATGTTGATAGGGGTTGAGGAAAATTCCTTATAGCTGCTGATACTTCTGTCTTTATCATTCTTGTCTATGCTGAAGATGATGCGTGTGTCTGCTCATTGAAGAGATAACCAGAAATGCTGTATGGAATGGTGTTTCATGAAGGTTCTGATGTGGTTTTCTGTGTCTAGACTTAATGAAAAAACATACTGTGTAATTCTTTTCTTAAATTAATTAAGCTCTGTTTTATAGTGTTGTCTTTCTATTCCTACTTAACATTGTTTGAAAGGCCAATTTTCAGCTAAGGGCATTTATGATTAGTTCATGTTTCTAGGTATACAGTCTGGTATGATTGGAAAGAACAAGTGATTTCCATCAACACTGCTGTGCTAAGCAAAGCTCTAAACACTTTCTCCTTGATTATTCTTCAACATTTTAAGTAGTGGTTAATTGGTTCCTATTTTAACAGACAGGACTAGAATCACATACAGCCTACCAGAAGGAAACTTCTTATGGTTTTGTGCTGTACCATCAGTGCTATCATATTTCTACTGGAAAAGTCTCCAGTCATTGCTTGTTACTACCCAGTGTCACATAGGAAAGTTTCTTGGAAGCTTCTTGGAGATTTGTATATCTCCTCTATATTTTTTCCTCTTCAGATTGCACAGTGGGCTAGCTAATCTTTTCATGTAGGTAGCACATAATCTTTGACCATATTTTTTTACTTATTTTTAAAGCATTTCTTATTTTTATATAGAATAGCTGATGTCCTGGTTAGCCATCAACCAAGCCCCAGGCAGTTGCTTGCTCACTCCCTGCAGGACTGGGGAGAGAGTCAGAAGGGTAAAAGCTAGGAACCTCCTGGGTTGAGATAAAACCAATTTAATAGGTTTTATCTCCACCTTGCTTTCCTTAACAGGGAAAACAAAAGCTGCATACACAACCAAAGAGACACAAGGAATGACTTCAGTGCTTCCTGAGGGCAGGGAGATCTTCGGCCATCTCCAGGAGAGCACGGCCCTATCACACCTACTGGTCACTTGGGATAACAAATGCCATCCCTTCAAACTTTCCCCCTTCTTCCTCCCTTCTCCCACTTCAAGCACTGACCATGATGTCCTATGGTCTGGAGTATCCCTTTGGTCAGTTTCAGTCACCTGTCCTGGCTGTGCATTCTCCCCATGTCCAATGCAGCCTCGCATTCCTCGTCAGTGCAGCAGTACAAAAACCAGAAAAGGCCTTGGCTCTGTGTAAACCCTGCCCAGCAACAACAAAAACATCTCTGCATTGTCAGCCCTGTATTCAGCACAAGTACAAAACATGGCCCATTACCAGACACTATGAAGAAAGTTAACTCTACCCCAGCCAAAACCAGCACAACTATGCAAACTTTATAATTCTGCTTTTGATAGACTTTGCAGTATAAATATGCCAAGCAGCAAACTCAAAGAATGAGGATAAATATAATTTTGGAAAAGATTAGAAAAATTGGATACTTAAAATTTGTGTTTGGCTTTTCTAATCTTGTATTCTTTTTTATGTTATCTGTATGAATCAGTATCTGTTTTAATGTCTTGGATTGCTTGGTCTTTTAACTCAGTTGATTGGAGGATAACAGTTTGTTCCTTATCGTAGAAGCTCTGAAGTAACTTCCACATTTTAAATCTTAATTTGAAGAAATATGTGTTCTCCCTCACAGTCAAGTCTTTAAGTACCTCTTAAGTCTAACCACATTTTTTAAGTAGGCCTTTTTATTTGCCCTTTTGAAATTCAATTTAATCCAAAAATTGTATTTCCTTTCATTTGATTTAAAATAAATTGGTTTGTGATCTCTTACTTTAAAATTTGCCATTACTACAGCATTTTAAAGTATCTGATAAAAACTAAAGCCAAAACAGCTTTATCGCTCATTCACTTCACATTTTGAAGAATAATGCTTTCATATATACTTGTATATAAGAATATATATAAGAATAAATATAACATGCAACAAAAATCCTTGAGACCTACTTTTATACTGTAATTTTACTTTTTCTGGTGTTCAGCCTGGGTGGAACTGTGTGAAAGGGATAAGCAGTGGTTACTAGGACAAAATTGTCTCTAGGCAATTGCAGAAAAAGTTACTGAATTCAAAGATTTAGAAGTTTTCTGGGAAGAGAGATTGTGATTTATGTAGCAAATGGAAATTCAGTAAGAATAACATCCAGAGCTGAACATCATTTAGAAGCTGATAGTATTAGATGGAAATTGAAAAAAAAAAGTGATTTCTTTAGTGACTTTGATAAATACTTAAAAAGCACATAGATTTATAATTTAATCTGAAAAATAATCTTTCTAGTTCACCTTATTCACATTTACTATAGCTTCATGTTTCAAAGGGTGTCAGCAGAATTTTTTCCTTCAGATTCTGTTACTTTCCAAATGTTTAATAATACTTCTGAGACTGGCATTGGCCTGTGTAGGAAGATAGACTGTATTTCTTAAATGACCTGTGCTACTTCTGCCCCCTTCCCCTGCTGTATCCCCTACCCACAACAAAACTGCTAATTGTCATGGTGTTCCTTTCTTTTATCTTTTGTGCTCTCAATTATGATTTTCTTTGACTAGATTGAACGATTAGTAATTGAAACTATTGCTGATTTTGATAAAAACAACAGATTTTGGGTCGAAAAGTATTCTGTCTCCTGGGATGTGGAATTTAAGTAATGCTGCATAAATAGAGAGCAGAAGGAGATGAGATTATACATGGAGACATCTAGGTGGGATTACATGCACTTTGAGATTTTAACATGTTGCTCTATCACGCATTTGAGGAAATTGCAGTAAATCACCTGTCTGCTTTTTAGCCTTGATTAATTTAGATTATATTACTCTACAGCAGTCTGATCCTTGCTTCTGTCACGCACTTTGTGATTACTGCTTTATTTTTCACAGCAACATGGGACACCAAATACCATCAAACAGCTGTGTGAATTAACAGGATGTATCAGAACTAGAACTCCTGGGGTTTTGTGATGGTGTTACTAGAGGGCATTGCTTTATCTCTGTACTAGTTTTCGCTAGTGTAAACCCCTGTGGTCTTGGGTTACAGTGTATATCTACTGCAGCATCCATTGTGGACTAAATGTTGGAAGATTATGCTTAAATTATTTGGTTCATACTGAGCTGTAGAGGCAAAAAAAAAAAAAATAACCTGCATGCACAGTATTACATCAACATTGCAGGACCCTACTGTTATCCTAATGCAAGCATACCAAAGAACCTCTGTGTGGAACAAGTCTCAAAGCAGATGGCGTTGGTGCAGGGAATGACAAGTGGCAATATACATGGATGTATTTTTTCATTGTAGGATTTCTGCTTAAAAACCTTTTCTCTAAAATTGTTTTTTGACCTAACTTACTTAGTTCTCAAAAAAGTCAATCAGTATCTTTTTCTGGTAGATATTCCTCTACTGCCTTCTATCACATCTCTAAGTCTTGGGGAAAATGAAGAAAAAAGTGGACCTTTTATTGTACACTGGCTAAACAACAAAGAACTTCATTTTACCTTATCTATGGAAGTGTTTTTGCAACAACTTAAAAGGAGTTTTGAACATCATTCCCCTGAGACTAATACTGAGGATTCTAATCAAATGGATGGCAGATCAGAAGAAGGTAAAAGTCATACAGAGATAGATGTCATATAGAGAAATGGCATACAGTTTTTAAAGTAATTTGTAATGTTCCCCCAGGGGGAACTTAGAGATTGGCAACTTGACATGCAAGGGTACAGACAGATTACAGTGGCATTTCAATGTATTTTATTCCCATACACTGAAAGTATCTAAGTGACTTAAAAAAAAATGTATCTGGAAGTTCTGGTTTCTCTTTTCATAGTTGTTCTAGCAATTTTGATTTATTTATGCTGAAAACTCTATTATTTAATTAGGCTTGACTAGAGGCCTTCCCATGAAAATGTTACTTCAATATTAAGGAAGCAGGAGCAACTTTAGAATTAACTTTTTTATTTAGATATTAATGTACAGTAAATTTAAATAGCTTTATTCTATAACATAGTACAGTCAATGCACTTGAATATATACATCATGGAGATTATTGTCCTTTGTTCTGTCTATGCATGCAAAAATTTGTATAAAATAGGGGAAAAGAAAAATATTTCAAATTAAGGTGCAACATAAACTATTTTGGTTTGTTAGACACTGAGCTCTGTTATAGGATTTATTATTGTAATCGTCTTCCTTTTAAATGAGTTCTCATATGAGTAGCTTATAAAAGGCCTGAAATCAGCTCCAGTGCCTGAATAACACTGCTTATTATCCTTTTGGTTTTGAATATCTGTATCTCTATATACATCTATATATATGATGCTTAGGTGCTTCAGTGCACATATATATGTATGTGTGTATTGTAGAAGCTGATGAAAATGGAGATGAACAAAAAGGAAACCAAGAGAAGAAGGAACTGGGTGATGAGAAAGCTGCTCCATATTCAAGCCTTGTTCCTTTATCTTCTGCTGTTTTTGATCATGAAATCGAAGTTCTGCTTTCTGAATGGAGTAAAAATGCTGACATGCTCTTCAGTATACATCCTATGGATGGCTCCCTGCTGGTGTGGCATGTGGACTGGCTGGATGAATATCAGCCTGGCATGTTTCGTCAGGTGCAGGTACTTTATTCCTCCTGCATTTTACCTTGGTGTTCATTGAAAAGTATGATGGGAACTCTAATACTTAGTCTTTCTTTCCTAAAATTGCAGGTGTCATTTGTCTCAAGAATTCCTGTTGCGTTTCCAGCGGGCGATGCAAACTCTCTTTGCAGAAGTATAGTGATGTATGCTTGTACCAAAAATGTTGACTTAGCTATTCAACAAGGCAAACAAAAGCCTACCGGCCTTACACGATCTTCATCTATGCTTATCTCTTCTGGACACAGTAAATCAACCAACAGCTTAAAACTAAGTATCTTCACACCTAATGTTATGATGATTTCCAAACATGCAGATGGGTCACTGAACCAGTGGCTAGTGAGTTTTGCTGAAGAATCTGCCTTTTCAACTGTACTCAGTATTTCACACAAATCCCGATATTGTGGTCACCGTTTTCATCTTAACGACTTGGCTTGCCACTCAGTGTTACCACTGCTGCTTACAACCTCACATGATAATGCTCTAATTTCACCAGATGTTGAGAAAGCAATACAGGCAAATGAGTGTTTTAAGTCTCAGGAGTCACCAGTAAGACATCAGAATAGAGGCAATGCAAATGTGACATCCCAGGATCCCAACACTGTGTACAGTGAGCTTATTCTATGGAGAGTAGATCCTGTTGGGCCTTTGTCCTTTTCTGGTGGAGTTTCTGAACTTGCTCGGATCAATTCTCTTCATGTTTCAGCTTTTTCTAATGTTGCATGGCTGCCCACACTTATACCCAGCTATTGCCTTGGTGAGTTTAATTTTCTGATTTGTGAGGTATTATAGAATAAAATTAATATAGCCTAATAATGCACTTTAATAGATAATACAGAGATACTTGAATATACTCGAAAAAATGTTAAGCATGGGTCCTTTATTTCACAAATTTTTCAAGCTTCTGATACTTGGGAATTCTTTATTCCTGTGTAAAAAGTTTCCATGTTCTACTGTTCAGTTGTATGTATTTGATGTTTTAGGAGCTTATGCAGAAACTTAGATACTAGTGCATACTTCATAGCATGCTGAACATCTAAAAGCTGAGGGAGATTTAGCTCTAGTTTGCAAATGGAATTATTTCCTTTAATATATTTTGATTTGACTGCTAAGCACAGCTTTAAACTTTGTAATTCTTGCTTGTGAATAGAAGTTAAGAGGACTTTCTTTTATGCTGTATAGTTTTTCATCATAACTTCGAAAATGCATGTTGTCAAAAAACAAAAAATGAAGCCATGAGGTGTTTGAATATTTGAGCAGTTTCTTCCTTCTTTTCAGGTGCATACTGTAATTCTCCAAGTGCCTGCTTTGTGGCTAGTGATGGACAGCATTTAAGATTATATCAAGCTGTAATAGATGCTAAGAAACTTCTCTGTGAGCTCTCAAACCCAGAAATTTCTGTAAGTGAAAAACCATCTCAAGTTTTTGCATGTTATGACTTCTTTCAGTTTCACTGGGCTCAGACTTAGTGACTGACTAAGCTGGTTGCTGAGGACTTCACAGATTATTCTGCTTGTAAAAACAGATTAGGTAAGGCTTTTTAGCTGTACTGCATTTCATTTAATCTCAAACTCTGCATATTGAGGCAGGCCAAGCTTTGATTGGGAAATATCTGTGAAGTGCTTACACCCCAAGGAATAATAACTGTGTGGATGCATTGCCATCCTGAGGAAAGGTTTAGACAACAATGCAGCTTTCAGAGAAAGGACAATAAATTGCTGTATGTGGGGCTTTCCAGATACTCTTGTCACCTTTCAGCCATCAAAACCAAATGTGCTCTTCATAAAACAGGGAATGTTACCTGTGTTCTTAGTCAATCACAGCTAGTCTATATCTTATGCTTTAGTTAACATTTGCATAGTGATGTTGCATCTATCTAGCAGGTTGTGCCACAGAAATGCATAGGAGTTTACAAGACCACCCCTCTGATTCTTTTCAAACAGAAATATGTTGGTGAAGTTTTTAACATCGTAAGTCAGCAATCTACGGCTCGCCCGGGATGTATCATTGAACTGGATGCCATTACAGAGCTTGTAAGAACATCTGCTATACTCATTTTATGTCATAATTAGCTTTTTAAAAAGCATTAATAATAAAAGCAATATCTGTAGTTCTCCATTAGGTAAATTTGGGGTACTTAGACTGTTTTTGACATATTCTTGTACTTGTTTTCAGCAGTACATGTAAATGAAAGGAATGTGAATAATGAAAATGCATTTTACGGAGGAGTCTTCTGTTTGTGTGTTTAACTTACCAAGTTAGAAGCTCCTGTGTTAGAGAGCAATCTTGAAAAGTATACACCAGGATGCTCACTTTTTGTGTATTTTTACTTCCTTAGCATGGCCGGAAAACACAGTTATTGCATGTTTTTCAAGAAGAATTTATTTTAAATAACCAGGAGAAGGAAATGCCTTCAAAGAAGAACAGTTTATCAGACTCTGGTAAAGAATTTTTTTTTCACAGAACATTAAAGACAGTGTTTTATTTTTCATTCCACAGAAGAAAAAACTTGTTTAATGGCTTTTATCATTTTAATGTCAAATACCTTAATTTGAGATCTTCAGAAGAAACTCATGGGTGTTTCACTTCTTTGAGTTGTATGCACCCAAATTTTAGATCAAGTAGTTTAACTCACAAGTTACCCATTGTGTCCTGTGTTAGGCAGTCCCTTAACATGAGAGGGGAAAGGGTTTTAAATATGAAGACAGTACTTGTAGGGTATAAAACAGACAAAACTTACTGTATCTTGTAATGTTGGATGCTCTTCTTTGACATCAGCTAAATATCGCTCCTCAGGCCTTGCATGGTACAACAAATGGCAAGCCAAACAATTCCTCCTCACTATAATACTGTGAGTAGTGTGCAGATTTCTAGGTCCTTGGACAGATCTGAATTGCTCTGGAAAAATTAATAGTGTTCCTTGGTGGAATGCCTCAGTTTTTTGCTTCTATAGGCATCACATTGTTCTATTCCAATGTCAGAGTAAAGTTTGTGATACCAGGTCATCTGCGGTACTAGATAGGAGTTCTGAATGAAAAGAAGCAAGAGTTGTGGAAAAGTGTCAAAGGAACTTAGGGAAATTGGATAGACATAGTGATTATTTGAGTCTGGAACTGGCTGGTTTTACCTGAGGAACAGATTGGGAGTAGTGGAGTTAATCCCAGCCTTCAGCGGAGTTCAAAAAGCACAATTGAGATGTTGAAAATAAGAAACAAAATAGAGGTTATAAGAAGTGTTACTCTACAGCATAATTGTATGTTTACATCTTGAGTATGATACACAGAAATAATTTTAGAACAAATAGGGAAATATTTGATCTTAGACAACTGTATACATCTGTATGTATTCTGAAAGTCTGTAATAGATTGCTGTATGCCACCCATGTAATGAGTTGGGCTAAAGGGACCCTTTGAAACACTGTTAAATTAGAACTGTGTCATTTGCATGCATTCTAATTTGAAATTATTTTGTAGCACTTTCTTCTTTTCTCTTTAATAATGCATGAAGGTAGTTACCTCCTATTGTTTTTAAAAAGAACAAATCCACTTACATTTTTCTATGATACCATAACGACTGCAATGTTAAAAGCACAGGGCAAATACAGCTTATTCATGGTAATGTTTTATGTATACACACACCTAAAGGGTCAGAGGAATCATGGAGGAAAAAGAGTCCCTAAATTAACTCTTCCTTCTTGGTTCTAATGGGTTGACTTGTATATGAAGGGAAGAGAATACATGGGTGAACTCTTCAGAAATGGACATCTATTGATAATACAACTCATATCTTCTTTTTGTGTGTAACTAGGGCAAGTAAATTCTTAGGAAGAAGCATTGTATCGCTTTCTCTTTTCTAGACTATACTGTATTGATAATACATTCTTGGATTTAACTTTAAATATAGCAAAGACAGGCAAATGTGTTGTCATCTCTGAAAGAAAACACTGGCACTTCTTACATGAGCATACTTGTAATTGTAGTGTTTGTTAGTTGTGGACAAAAAACGAACAAAGCTAATGTAAGAGATGCAGTCAGACCATTGCATTTCAGTATTAGTTCATGTTAGCTTAATCTGATTATGATCTGATTATTTGGTAGACAGCAAAATTTAGTTTTGCTTTCAGGTGAATAACCCCTAAGATCTTCCCATTCTCAATTTCATCAGGAAAGCAGCAGAATGGATTCTCTGAAAAATTCTACTTAATAGTGATAGAGTATACACAAAACCATTCATTACTACATATGTGGCATTTAGATCTGAAGGCAATTCCTGTCTCAATAGGTAAGCCCTCTTTCTTATAGTTTTCTTTTAAAAAATAGCTGCTGTCTAGTGAATATCTGCTATTCAGTGTAATCTAAAATGTTTCATCTTTTTTAAAAGATTCTGCGTTTGATTACAAGATTTTATCACAACCATTCTTTCTTGATTACCTAATCTTCTGATTGCTATAACTCTTCCGTTCAGCCTGAGCCTGAAGTTTGGTATTTCTTATGCATTCTAAGGCCAAATATGCTTAACTGGCTTTAATACAGTCTAACAGCTTAGCTGTTTCGCTTTTTGGAGGTTTTAGGTCTGCAATTTTTGAGTTTATGCATACATTTTAAATAGGACCGTAGTCTGAAGCACCTAAGTGTCAGTGATGCTGTTACAATTCTAAATAATTTTGGCATTCTGAAATCTGCTGGTTCTCTTTCAAACTACCAAACTCCCTCTAAAACTCTAATGTTTTTAAGAAAGGTAAGATACACGTTAGTAGTTTTCTGTTAACATTTAAAGGTTTTAAGAAACATAAATATCATACCACTTACCAGACAAATCTGTTATAATGCATGTTTCTGTCATTTAAACTAAATTAGCATTTCTTACTGTTGCTTTCAAATAAGAGAAGCAGTGTTATTGCAATTAGTTTATAAGTTAGTGAGAATAATAAAGATCTAAATTTTCTGATGTACTTATGTGATGAAGAAATGACTGGGAAAGCTGTTCAGCAAATATGTTGAAAATTTTTGTATTCCATTTCCAGCAATTTCATACTTCAGATCTTGAGTTTTACTAAAATATTACAGAATCACGCAGAATCACAGAATAATGAGGTTGGAAGAGACCTCTAAGATCATCAAGTCCAACCTATGCCCTAACACCACAACTAGACTATAGCACCAAGTGCCAAGTCCAGTATTTTTTTTAATATCCAGAAATGGTGATTCTACCACCTCCCTGTGAAGACAATTCCAGTATTTTATTATTCTTTCAGTGAAATTTTTTTTCTAATATCCAACCTAAACCTTCCCTGACGTAGCTTGAGGCTGTGTCCTCTTGTTCTGCCAGTTGCTGCCCGGTGGAAGAGACCGACCCCCAGGAAGCTGTAGAGAGCAATAAGGTCGCCTCTAAGTCTCCTCTTCTCCAGGCTAAACAACCCCAGCCCCTTCAAACATTCCTCAGAGGGTTTGTGTTCCCCTCACCAACATTGTTGCCTTTCTCTGGATGTGCTCAAGGATCTCAATGTCCTTCCTAAACTGAGGGCCCAGAACTGGACACAGCACTCAAGATGTGGTGTCACCAGTGCCGAGTACAGGGGAAGAATAACCTCCCTGCTCCTGCTGGTTACACAATTCCTAATGCAGGCCAGGATGCCCTTGACCTTCTTGGCCACCAAGGCACACTGATGGCTCATATCCAACCAGCTGTCAACCAGCACCCCCAGGTCCCTTTCTGCCTGGACACTGTCCAGCCATACTGTCCCCAACCTGTAATGCTGTAGGGGATTTTTGTGTCCAAAATGTAGAACTAGGCACTTAGACTTATTAAACTTCATGCTGTTGGACTCTGCCCATCCATCCAATCGATCCAAGTCTCTCTGCAGAGCATTCCTTCCTCCCAATAGATCAACACAAGCTCTCAGGATGCATTCATATCACATTCTATGAGAACCTATGTTTTAAGGAATAAAATAAAGCTGTTATTTAAACTTTTCTCAAAAATAACTTTCACCAATTTGTAAGCTAAGACATGAAGGTCTTAATTGAATTTTCCCTAGCTGCAGGTACTCTGTGCTTACCAAAACCCTATTTTCCTATATAGCCTATATTTCCCTATATAGCCACATACATATTTCTTTGCAATTTTGGCCTTTTTGATCACGCTTTGATTGTTTTATAATCTCTCAGCAGTTCTAGAATCTCTGAAGTATTTAATGTGAGATGTTTTTAAATCTGTGTTTCTCTTTAAATCTGAATATGAGAATACATGTCATTAAAATGAATGTAAAATTTTAAGTCAGGTTCTTCTGGAACTATTAAAGTGAATAAAATAACTTCTTACATTATAAGAAATCATTGATCTTTTAAAGTTAACAATGCATACCTTTTTTTAGATGAAAAGATAGATTCAAATCCATCTGAAGAAGCAACACAAACAGAAGAATTGTATTCTTCACCAGATCCAGAGAAAATCCAATCACCTTTCACTCAAAAGTATCAGGCCTGTAGAGCAAACCTTCAGAGCACCAGCTGGCTTACTTTGTCTTCAAAAATGGTGTATAGTCAAGAATTGAGTATGCCAGAAGGAGTAGAAATAATAAATGTAAAGCCATCAGCAGGTTTGTCATCTGTTTTTAAAACACTAAAATAGGGAATCTCTGCCTTTCGGACTTGGGTCTTAAAATTGAAACAAAGTAATGGTGAGTTTTGGATTTGTTGTTGGATTCGAGTATGTGTAGGTGAATCCGAAAGGTTTGCTAAAATGTACTTCCCATAACTTAATATCTCAGTCCTGGAACTAACACTAAAATAAAGCCTTACTTGAGGTATAATATTTACTGTATTCCACATACTCGCAAAAAATACAGTTGAAACACAAATTTTGTTTTGCAGTGATGCATGAAAATTTTTGTAGGATCTATACTTAAATGTTAAGGTTTTCATCAGTAGTCTTTCTAAAATACAGTTTTAGATTTTTTAATGGAGAAATATTTTTTATAGAAGAGAATATTTATTAGTATTCATGTTTAAATAATATTATTTGACTCCTCTCTAGAGCACAAAATGCAGTTAAAGGGTAAAATGGTTTCATGGTATTTTTGACATATTGTCTTCTTTGTGAGGCCCTGTAAATGGCTTCTTTGTGAGGAAGCATTAATACGTTTTTTAATTTGGAATAATAGAATAATGGCTGAATAAAAATGTTGCTAATTTTGATTTTTAGTATTTCCTCCAGTAATAATGTTTTACTTTTTTCATTTTAGGACATCTCAGTTCTTCTTCCATATATCCTGTTTGTCGTGCACCTTACCTGTTGGCTACTTCCTGCTCTGATGGAAAAGTTCGATTCTGGAGATGCAGGGTTATCACTGAATCATCAGCTTCTTCCATGCCACAATATGGCACCGACGGTGATTTCAAATATGTGTGGGAAGAATGGCCATTACTGATTGAGGATGGTCTTCCTAGTAGTAGTGCTATTAATGTTCCAGGGAGGCCAGCTGATGTCAGCTGTGCACATACAAACAGATTAGCAGTAGCATACAAGCAGGCAGCATCTAGAAATAGCCATCTTTCTCAAGATTTTGTGATGCACATTAGTATTTTTGAATGTGAATCTACAGGGGGCTCTTCTTGGATTTTAGAGCAGACACTTAATTTAGATGAGAGAGGCACCATGTTGGACTCTGGTGTTAGTGTTGATAGCGATTTAGTGGCAGATAGCCAGCAAGATACTTCTCTGTCTCATGGTGGGAGTATTATATCCAGCACTAAGCACTTGGTACACTTGGATTGGATGTCTAGGGAAGATGGTTCTCATATTCTGACAGTGGGAATTGGATCAAAACTTTATATGTTTGGTCAGATGTCTGGGAAGAGGCAAGAACAAAATGGTAACGAGATTGTAGCAATCTCCCACAGTGGCAGTCCTAAGGCTGAAACCCTTTCTGGGTTTGTTTTGCTTCGTTGTGTAGACTTGGTTTCATCTGTGGAGGGGTCACCTCCTTTTCCTGTGTCCTTGTCTTGGGTGCGTGATGGCATTCTGGTAGTTGGAATGGATTGTGAAATGCATGTTTATTCCCAGTGGCAATCTCCTAAGCAGGAACTTGTTAGTACAGACTCCTACAGTGGAAGTATGCCTTGCCTAACTAGCTTAATGAAACAAAGTCAGTCAGCTGCCTCAAGTCTGCATTCACCAAAAAGAACTTTGACCAGATCTATGACCAGCCTTGCGCAGAAACTTAGTGGGAAAAGATCTGCCTCTGATCTGTCTATGGAAATGGAAGATTCTGGTCTGTTTGAAGCAGCTCATACATTATCTCCAACTTTACCTCAGTACCATCCATATCAACTGTTGGAACTCATGGATCTTGGTAAAGTACGCCGAGCAAAAGCCATTCTGTCCCACTTAGTGAAGTGCATTGCTGGAGAAGTTGTTGCTATAAATGAGTCTGAGCCTAATCATGACAAGAGGCTCAGATCTCTGACAATCAGTGCTAGTGGAAGTACTGCAAGAGATCCCAAAATATTCAGCAAAACAGAGACTACAGACTATATTGAAATAGACTCTGTTCCACCATTGCCTCTGTATGCTCTTCTTGCTGCGGATGATGATTCATCTTATTCCTGTTCAGAGAAGTCCAATAATCAGAACAGTCAAAATAAAAAGGATATGCCCAATGATAGTTACGAAAATCTCTTCCAAAATACTGTTATAAGTACAGATGACCTTGTAACATTTGAGGCGGATGAAGACAGTTCAAAAGTCATTGATCTTTCTCAATACAGCCCAACTTACTTTGGACCAGAACATGCTCAAGTTCTTTCTCGTCACTTGCTTCATTCAAGCTTGCCAGGTCTGACTAGGATGGAGCAAATGTCATTGATGGCCTTGGCAGATACAATTGCTACTACCAGTACTGACATTGGAGAAAGCAGAGACAGAAGTCAGGGTAAGCTGTCTCTTCCAAGGTAATTGTACTACTGTGATTCACAGCCTTTCCAGGGATTTTTTTCCTATTTTGGAATATTTTTTGGCTTGTAAGATGATGATGCACCTTCATTTCATAGTGTAATTATTTCAAGACCTATTGCTTTGATAAAAGTAGAATTTTCTTTTGCCACCTGGTAATGCCACTGTGAGTCCATCAGTTCACATACTATAATTATTTTGAATTCACTTTTCAAGAGACAGGAATGACAAATATTTGTTGTACCATCTAGAGAAATTTAGAAATAATTTGGTTTGTTTTTTTAATGTATTACAGTTTTTCTGTCTCTTGCATTAAACAGAACAAATAACTTCAGAAGTTTTTATATTTGAAATTTTCTTCTTTCTTTTTTCTTGAAGGGAAGAATTATGGACTAAGCTATTGCTTACAAATTCAAAGTATTAGCACTCACAAAATTATATTTCTTCTATTAAGACCCACAGTACTTACTTGGATTAATTCCTGTAAAATGTGTGTAAAAATATTTATTTCCAGGTGGAGAAACGCTTGATGAGTGTGGTTTAAAATTTTTATTGGCTGTCCGGCGTCACACCTTTCTGACAACTGCACTTCCTCCTGTGCATCGAGCCCAGCTGCTTCACCAAGGTAGCTGATGTGTTTTCTTAGATGAGTTGAGTTTTAGTGATGTAGCTGCGCCTATGACTGCTGTACTGTTGATGTGCCTCTGCAGAACCAGTAATTTAATTCATTGGGGTTTTTCAAGAAAATATTGTCCAATATGAATGAATGCTAGAGCAGAAAATGTTTTGGTTTTGGTAAAGGTCTCGGAACTGATTTTTTTCTAACAAGTTTTTAGTTGATAGGGGAATGTTTCTATTTCCCCAAATTAAATACCCAAAATTCCCCAAATTAAAGTCTACTACCATGTTGTTCCAATAACTTTCTGCAGGAATAATGTAGTAAACAACTCTACCTGTTTATGTAGGGGTTTAGTACATATTTAGAAAAAAAATTTACTACTCAGACTTTTAATATTTCTATATACTTACCCTAAGTATACAATTGACTATATCATATAGGGAGTTTTTTTTGTATAATTTAACTAGTTCCATCCTGATACTGCAGATGACAGAATGAGATGGATTTGATTAGTCATGATCAGATCTAAAGGACTGGCTATGATTAGTTCTTTAGCCATCATGACATTTGTGATAGCATTTTTAATCTCATGGCTTATCACCCCTCAGCTGAATCAGAGGTTGGAATTTGCCAGAACTGCCACAGCAGAGTATTGCAGAGTTAAGATTAATTTTAGTTGAGGTACTTCTGCTTCTGGTGAGCTCAGAAATTGGTGAGAGTGGGAAGTGCCTCCGGGGCACACGCGGAAGTGCCTTTCTACGAAGAAGCATTCCTCCTTCACCAGAATTGCAATTATCCCTAGCCAGCTATGTTGCTGCTTAGTAATTGCTTCCTTCCTTATGAGATTTTTTTATTTTATGTTTTCTTTTCTATCTCTATCCCCAAAGATGTTTTTGCTCTGATTGTCTGAAACTTTTGCATTTTCTAATCCAAGTCAAAATAGTGAACATATCTTTCAAAATTTTGAAAAAATTAATCAATATATTGATTATCATGGCTAATCTTAGTGCCATTTATTGTCCATATGTTTGAGCTTTATAGAGAAACTCTATTCTTCGCAAACTTTCCTAAGGAGTTTGCAGATGAAAAATTGTTTCCAGTTGTATGATTTTTCTGTAATGTGTGATTTGCAGTCCTAACAAATACACTTAGATGTCTGTTGCCTCATCAGCAATGCATTTAAAAATCTAAAACAAGCTGTTTGATCTTCTTCCCTTCTCACTTTCCCATCCCTTTGTCTGGGATTCAGATTCTGGATTATTTTATTAATTAATATCTTCTGTTTGTTTTTTCTTTTTAATGGTGACTGTATAGGCTTATCTACTAGTCACTTTGCCTGGGCATTCCATTCTGTAGCAGAGGAAGAGCTCCTGAGTATGCTCCCTGCCGTGCAGAAGGGAGATCCAACATGGTCCGAGCTCAGAGCTATGGGTGTAGGATGGTGGGTCCGAAACATCCATAGCCTGCGGAAATGCATAGAAAAGGTAAACATAGCATTCTAAATAAAACCCAACAAAATCTTTCCAAACAGCTGTTCTCCAGTGTTGACCTTCTATTTATGTAGTTTTAAGCTTTTAGATAATGAAGTTTTTCTGAGTGTTTCATGCCGTATTTCTTTGTATCTATACTTTTCTGTAAGAATATGAACTTCTGTGTTTTACTAAACGTTTTTAGTGCATCAAATTCCAGTGTGGATTACATTTTTTGCTCTTAGATATTCCATCCTAAAGGTAATATTGTACAGTGCTTATTGTGGATGCTCAAGATACAGATGGAGAATATAGTTGTTTTTATAGCAAAATTGAGAATTGAAGTTGTGGGGAAAGGTTCTTCTTAGAAACCTATTAGATGTGGGAACAGGTTAGATATTGTATGTACATCTCTCTTGCAAATTGCTAAATTGCTTATTTTACATGATGAAACAAACATTCTATTGTTTTGTTTTGTCTTGGTGGGTTTTTTTTGAGGGGTTTTTTTTTTTTTTGAGGGTTTTTTTTTGGGTTTTTTATATTAAATATTTTAACCATCACAATGTGGCAGTAAGCCTAACCTCATTATCACTTGTTTTAAACTCTTGGAAAAGCTAGTGTGTTGAGCTAGAAAATGACATGCACAAGATACTTTGACTACAAAGCACCAAGTGGTAAAATGCATGTCTCTACTCTTACTTCTAAATCTTCAGTAATTAATCATCACTTTATGAAACTCAACTGCCTTGCTTTAAAAAATTCCAGGTATTCTGGGCCTGAGTTTAAGAATATTTTACATGGGACTTGGACTATTCTTGCTGCCCTTACCCTATTCCTTTCCACCTTCCAAAAGCAATCACTGGTCCCAGCCTGTTTCTCAAGACTCCATCTGTCCTTTCATTAACAGAGCAACTAGTAAATTAATTTTGGTATAATTTTAGAAACTACTCTCAGGTATATGGATTCCCATTTCATCTGCAAATAAGCTTCTAGAACTGGAAGAGCATGGGCTAAGTGTTATCAAATGGGTTGTTGTATCTTCATATGTTCTTATATCAGATTCATAATGACAGGAGGCATCGTGTATTAAAGAGAACTTCAATGCACTTTGGGGTATGAGATGCCAGAAGCAACAAGAATCTCATTTAAGATTAAGTTAAATTTGATTTTTTGCTTTTAAACTGTCTTCTTAGGTGGCTAAAGCAGCTTTCCAGAGAAACAGCAATCCACTTGATGCTGCCATTTTTTACCTTGCAATGAAGAAGAAAGCTGTTATTTGGGGATTATACAGGTATCCAAGCTCTTACATGGAATTTCACACTGTCTGGTATAATTTTGGAGGAAAAAGTTGAATATGATGGTAATCCAAAGGAAGCACAAATACTAGCATTGAAAGCTGGGGTTTGATTTCCAAACTAGTCATTACATTGAATGAGTAGTTTCTATCCCTAAACTGAAGGAAAATTTAGTTGCTGTTTCTGAAGGTAGGTGCTTCAAGTTTTAGTCTCAATCTCCTGTAATTTCAATTACTGCTTAATTCTGATTTACTTCTGAGGACTAGTAGTATAAGTGTCTGAAATGTCATGCCTATCTTTTACATAAGTGTTTGTTGTTTAAAATTGTACCTTCAGATCAGGGGACTGACTTATGTCTTCCTAACTGATGTTTCATAATACAGAATTCAGTATTGCAAACTTTCTGAAAACTAATTTTCATTGTCACTTAAGAGTTCACCTTAAGAAAAAAGATTTTCTTTCTGTATCAGGTAATTGAAAAACCATTAGGTTTTTTATTTATTGAAGTTCCTACTACTTTTAAAGAAGTAGCTTTCTCAGTTCCCAGTGTGGTGAGAGACTCTGCATTTCCTAATGTGAAGATCTGTATAAAATTATACTGACATCTGCAGAAATTAGGAACCATAGTGCAAGTAATAAAAAGTAAAATGTTTTTATCAATTATATTTGATATGCAGGTCCCAAAAAGATACTAAAATGACACAGTTTTTTGGAAACAACTTTACTGAGGACAGATGGCGTAAAGCAGCCTTAAAGAATGCTTTTTCTTTGCTTGGCAAACAGCGATTTGAGCATTCTGCAGCATTTTTCTTGTTGGCAGGACACTTAAAAGATGCGGTGGAGGTAATAAAATGCTTAATGTTTAAGACCGTTGCGTTGTCCCAAATGTACAAATAGACTGAATGCCATTTGTGTTTTGCATTAGTATGGCCCCTGAAGCTTCTTATGCTTTCAATTTTTGCTCTTCTTTCCCACCCCAAATGAATGACAAATGGAAAACCTTCATCTTTACATTCTGATTCCTTTTTAGCTGTCATATTACTGATACTGAAAAGTGACATGGGTAATTTCTCTGCTCTAATACTAAGGGGCCTACCTACAATTAGCTTCCTTTCAGATTTTCTACCCAGTCCTATAGGAAGATAGCATAGTTTTTCATTAGGAAGTTCCAGATGTGGTGTTTTGGCAGAGATGTTGATTAGCTCCTAGAATCCCTTTACAAAAAACAAAGAAAATACAAATTATTTCCTGGATCTGTTTGAATTGCAAAATTGTGAGGAAATTAATCTCTGTGATGGTGAAGGATTTGTTCTGTAAAGCTCTGTAGCTAAAATAAACAGAATCCAGAAGTAAGAGGTGGCGTGTGCACATTGGTAATGATCTATTGAAGCTGGTTGATTTCAAAGATCTGTTGTCATGCCATACTTAAACTGAAGAAATGCAAATCCAATCTTTCATGTGATACTTATCTACGTCTGTTCTGCTTAGGTCCTGCTCACGTTTTATGGAGTTGGTAGACCTACTTACTTTAATCTGAGCAAATTTATGTCCCTTCCTGCCCTGTAATAATTTTAAACTGAGGAGAAATTGCAAAGTTTGATCATTTTAATATAATTACCTTTAATTAGGTCTGCCTTGAAAAACTGCATGACATTCAATTGGCTCTTGTAATATCAAGACTGTATGAATCGGAGTTTGAAGTGTCTAGTACTTACAAATCTATACTACAGAAGAGAGTTTTGGGAAGTATGTCTACTGGAAAACAGAACTTAGGAAACATACACTGTGACCCTTTCCTGCGAAGTATGGCATACTGGATTTTGGAAGATTATAGCAAGGCTCTTGACACTTTGATTAAACATTCTGTTGAAGATGAAGGAGGTAAGCATATAAGTATTTGGCCTGTTGAGTTGATTTAAAATATTTGTTAATTTAAGCCACAGTTTCTTAAAGTGTCATCTGATCAAAACCAAGTACCACACAGTTCTTCACCATTGTTAATAAACTGCTTGCTGTAGCAATGTATGTGGACTTCAGTCACAAACATGGTGACTGTATTATTATTACCTTGTATTCCAAGCATTCATACTTTGTCCTTTAAGCATGTGAATATCAAGACAGTGGAATGATCCTGCAGTAATACAGCTGTTTTTCCAGAAGCAGCCTAAAGATGGAGACAAACTAACTTCTTATATTAATTCGACTCCATCACAGCCTAAGACAAAATTTCTGATTGCTCACTTTACATAGGAGAGTCTGTTAGACATGGTGTTTTGCAGCTTTTAGCCCTTGGTAACAGCTGACTACAATAATAGGCTACCAACAGATAGATTTTGTTACTTGAAATGGTATGAGGAGGCCCTTGTGGTGCCTGAAACAGCACGTGAGTATCCTAGAGCAATTAATTTCTATATTCACTTGCTGGCTTTATAGGCCTTCTAAGAATTAATTGTATTATTTCCTAAAGGTAGTGTTTTCATTTAAGTTAAAAGCTTCAAGTCCTTGCTAGTTAGCTGGTTTCAGTCCTGGTTACTGAGAGAATTTGGAAGGGGATAAATAAAGGCTCAAATACTTAGAATTGGGCAACTAATTTGTGAAACTGATTTTAGCAGAAGTTAAATGGTTTAGGATGATTTTGAGCAAATGAGGAATATTGCATTTGGTTGTTGCTATCTTGATCCCATCTTTCTGTGTAAAATAATTTTAAAGTGTTGCTAATTCTTCTGTGATCATTTCATGGCTTGTTTGTGGTGTCTTGCCTTATTTTCTTACCTAGAATGTGTGTTTTCATGTAGCTCTCTCTGTTAACTGTCACCAGTTGTGCTGTAACATGTGATAGAGGATAGAGTAAGGGCTTATTTCTATCCCCAGCTATCCTGAGACCTTTGAAAACTGTGAATCATGCTGTTCTGATTCTTATATCTCTTCAGGGTTTTTCTTCTTGTGGACATGAAAATGAAATGAATAGGTGTTCCACTGCTGTGTAATTCATTTATTTGTATGTAATGCTGCTACCATTATGTAGAAATGTGATAGATTTCCTAGTTTTATTGTAAGTTGCATTTCTTTTGAGATGTCGACAAAAAAAACCACTATTCCAGTTTTTTAAATGAGACTTTAAGTAAAAGAAGTAAGATATTTTCTTATTGTCATTTAGACGTGGAACATGGAGACTGCAGAAATCTAAAATTAACAGAAAAGTGGCCTTGTTTCACTTCAGTAAAACTGGCCTGACTACAAGGAAAATAAATGGTAGCTGTTTTAATTTAAGAAGTCATGCCTACTGCCTCACTCTGCTTGTTTTTAGTAATGCAATTGTTTTTGGCAATGTCCTTCCCACTGAGATTTTCAAATGATGAAGGTGCAAAGGAGGGTGTAGTGAAGTAAACAGTAGAATGGATGTATGAAGTAGACAATAGGATTGATACTAAGATCTAAAAGCCTCTGACGAACTTATGACTTTGCAGATGGGTTATTTCATGCAGAGTGGTATGTTTTACATGTTGCCATATCTTTTCAGGTGAAGGGGATGGCTCATCAAGTTGCAACCCTGCAGTGTTTAACTTCTATAACTACCTAAGAACACATCCCCTCTTGCTGAGACGTCATTTTGGCTCTTCTGATACATCTTCCACACACATTTCCCTAACAGTAGAAAATGGATTAGCTGACAAAATCAACCTAGGTGAAAGACGGCTATTTTTCACCACTGCATATGCTCATCTAAAAGCTGGTTGTCCCATGTTGGCCTTGGAAGTGTTATCAAAGATGCCCAAAGTTGTCAAGAGGTCAAAGTTATTCAGTAAATCCCCTAGTTCAGTGGATGCTAGTAAAGATTTCTCACCATTATCTCCAGTTAAAGAGTTTGAAACAAAAGATCAAGCTTCCAGTATTGATTGGTCACAGCCAGTATTCAATGGTCTAGGTTCATCTTCAGATTGTTCATCAGGAAGACATTCAAGTTCCACTCTTTCGTTTGATTGGAGCCAGCCAAGTGCTCTATTCCAAGATGAACAATTGCAACTACAGTCAGACAGTGATGAAAATGATGAAAGTGAAGATTCTTCCCTGGTAATGAAAGAGCTAAAACCTCTGAAGAAAACTGAAAAATTACACGAAACAAGTTCTAGCTACACAGAATCTTTTAGTGTAGTTGATGACAAAGATATTCTAAGTCCATCAGAAGATACAATTTCAGTACAGCTGAAGTTTAGAGCATGCCTGAAAATCCTTACTGTGGAGCTTCGTACACTGTCCACTGGCTATGAAGTCGATGGTGGAAAGTTGCGGTATCAGCTTTACCAGTGGCTTGAGAGAGAAGTGGTAGCTCTTCAGAAGACCTGTGATTATGGTGTTGAAGTAGAAGAGATACGGCCAGAGGAAGGTACATTACATGAAAACCCTGAAGGCTTAGCTGACCAGGAAAAAACTATGCTACAGAAAGAAGACTTTCAAAAAAGACGTCAATGGCTTCTGAAGTACCAGTCTCTCCTCAGAATGTTCCTTAGTTACTGTATACTTCATGGCTCACACGGTGGAGGCTTGGCATCTGTCAGAATGGAATTAATTCTCCTCTTGCAGGAATCTCAGCAGGTATGTGGGGTAGCTTAGGTTTTGTTTTGTCTGCTTCAGGTTTATAGATTTATTTGAAAGTGTTTTGTAATATTTTTGAAATTTTCCTACTGTAGCATGCACATGTTTTTAAATAAATCTAAATCTGTTTTTAACAAGGTTTTTTTGTACATTATTTATTTTTTGTTGTTTTATAGAATCTTTTTCTCTCTTTCAAAGTTACTATGTTCCCTTAAAGAATATGTACTATTGCTTTGTCTATGTGTTTCTTGCTTGATTTTAGGAGCAGTCAGTACAGATACCTTCCAGCCCTCCACCAGAGCAAAGCTCCATACCTCTCCTATTTGCTTGCACAGCTAGTGCTAAAACAGTGGTTGCTAATCCATTGCTACATCTTGGCAATTTAACTCATGATATATTACATGCTATAATAAACCTTGATTCACCACCTCATCCAGATACTCAGAACAGCAAGGTATGTATTTTTTTACAGTAGTTTTGTTGTTTTATTGTCTAGTTTGCTGAAGTCACAACTTTTTCTTTCAGACAGCATGAAAACTTTGTGCTGTGCCTATCTGTGACAGAGTAAAACCATGAAACATAATCATTTTCTGTAGTACTTATCTTGAGCTTAAAGAAATGTCCAGTGATCATTAGTCATTGTTGAGATGTTGAGGATCTGGTTCCACAAGCTGTTGTAGATTGGCCTCTCTCAGAACTGGATGTTTGTCCAAGAGGACATTTTAATGGAAAAGATGTTATACTAAACCATCAGCATCATATTTGTCTTTATGACAGTATGTTCATTACTTCTTTTATGCTAATAGCAGATTCTGCATTTCATTCTTAGACATAAGTAAAATTAAATATTAAGTACAAAACCTGAGTGTTAGCAAACTACAATAAATCCATACTGTTTTTTTGTGAAACAGTATGTGTTAGTATAGTAATTTTTAAAAATAGTTTTCTGTAAGATTTCTCCTGCGTTTAACCTTTGACTGGAAATAAAACTTAAATCTTTCCTGAAGTTGTTATTGTTAGGTCCCAGATCATGTCTGGTTTTACTAAGGATTTCTAGAGAACACTAAAAAGATGGCTTAATCCTAGTTAGCTTTGTTTTAGAGGGAACAAACAAAAACAATATAATAAACTGTTTTTGATTAACAGCTTCTCTAGCTTTTTAACCTTAATGTGTACTGTGATACTTAAAGAAAAAAGTGTCAGCTGTTAAGAAAAAAGTAAAGAAAAAAGTCAGTTAAAAGTACTGATCAGTATGATACTGATTAAATTGAGTGTGTGGCCAAGAGCTGCATTAGAATTGGTCAAAAACTGAGCTGCATTATAGTATTCATTATGAAATAAATTATTTGTATTCTGAACCAGCAAACTGCTGTTGTTTTAGGATGTAATTACATAAGACTGTTGAATTCAGGCTTAATAGGCTGCTGTTTAATAATTGAAAACATTTCAGATGAAGCTGATCTATGATTATGCATTGGTGAGGCGAATGAGTTTTCCCTCATCCTTTTCATAGGGTGATTTGTCTGATACAAATTCTGCTGCAAAAGGTGACTTTGTAAGTGCATAAGGACTTCGACCTTTCATGTTCAGTGCTTGTTACACAACTTTATGCAGTGAAAAGCTGTTATACTAGCCACAGCTCACTTTGGGAGTAATGAGTTCTGTAAAATTTTGTCTTACAGATATGTGTAATGCATACCTTAGCAGCGTCACTCTCTGCTTGCATCTACCAGTGTCTCTGTGATGGCCACAGCTACAGGTAAAGTCTATGAAAAGTGATTTTTAGACAGCTGGCTCATTGCAGTCATGTTAATGGATAGTACACCAGAAGGCAGTGATCACACTTGCCTACATCTAGAAAGTGCTAATATTTCAATAGTTGTAAATATAATTTTTAAAAATAAATATTTCCTGCTTCTCTGTTTCACAGCTCATTTCAAGCAAATCAGTTCACTGGAACAGTGTACCAGACGGTCCTGTTAACTCAGTGTCATTCTTTAAAAACAGCAAGCTTAGAAGAAACAGTGACTCCCAACACATCACCTGCTCAGTGGCCAGGTATCTAGACTTGTTTCTTTCCTCTTAAGGAAAACTGAGTTATTTGGATCCACTGTAAGAGCATGTGGCTATGATGTTCTAGTAGTATTTGTAACAGCTGTGTTGAGTTCATTGATTAAAATGTTGTATTCTTTTTTTCAAAACATCTAAGTTAGTACTTCTGATTATTCACTAAGTCAGGTTGGTTTATATTACTTTCTTTAATTAAAAAAATGTTAGTGCTGGATCTACTAAAGAGAGAGCAGCTAAACAGGAGGTAGGGTGAAGTCATGTCCTTTGTTCTGTTTGCACCCCCTGGAGCACCAATATTCTACTTCTTGAAGGCTGCCTTAGTTTGTGCTCCAACTAGGAATTACTTTACCTTACGGACAACTTCTGAACTACCTTGAAATTATTAAAAATGAAACATTTCTCATAAATTACCATTTTCTGCAGCTGTAAAGTTAATGTCAGATTTCATCTGAGATCTGTGCTGATGAAACCACATTAGGGAGCTACATTAGAGGGAATGTTATCAATTAAAAAAATAGAAAAAGGTATTTAGGTATGGGCTTCAGTTTATAGCACTAACTTTAATGTAAGCATAGGCAAGAAATGTGCTTACTTATTATGAGAATTGTTTCTTAAATCAGAAAATTTCTCTTTAAAATCTTCATGGAGAGCCTGAAGGAGTCTTTGTATTTTATGCTATGCCATTTGTTCTTTTCTGCCAAACATTGTCACCAAATCCAGAGATTTTACGGAGAAACTAGCTTGTCATCTGTTTTCGTGTTATTTAATTAATCGCAGGGTTACGTTTCCCACAAGTGGGGCAAGGAATTGTTACCAGTTTACTCCTATGAATCACATCACCTTGAACTGACTTTTTCTATTTTTTACAAGATTCACATGCTATGTGTGCAAATTGGAGAGCATGACAAAAAGCAGAATTCTTTGGCCATGACTATGTGCATTTTTACTTGTCTGTACAAAGTGTCACGTTGAAGCCACATCTGAAACTACACCTTTTTGTGGGAGCATAAAAATATTACAAGATGTTTAGTACTTGGGTGAAAGAACACTTGCCAGACAATGTGTAATGCAAGTTGATGCCCATGATTTTTGATTGGTTTTACCACTGTAAAGTGAGAAGATAGAATTTCAGCTTTCAGAATTATAATGTAGTTATATTAATTGAAAAGGAAACTAAAAACCAGAAAGCTAAAAACGAATAAATTGTTCAAAATTAAGAGCTTGCCTCTTTCTCCTGAAGTTTTCAACTTAGGTTTCAATGTGTAGAATTTTGAATTTTTCTACACTAAACATTACTAAGTAACATCAGTTACCAGACAAAATACCCATGATAATCTGGAGTATGTTCACACACACATCAGTGCTTTCTTAAAGAATATGTTTATTTTATATAAACAGGAATGACAGCTCTCATACGTCTCTTGAATTCTGCTGGTGAGGAAGCCCAGCCAGGTCTCACAGTTCTACTTTGTGAAATTCTAACTGCGGTCTATCTCAGCCTCTTCATCCATGGCCTTGCAACACATTCCAGCAATGAGTTGTATAGAATTATGGCTCATCCACTTAACAACAAAATGTGGTCTGCTGTCTTTGGAGGAGGAGCTCATACGCCCAGCAGAGAACAGCAGCAATTAAAGACAAAAACTGGTCAGTTCTCTTGTTTTATGTGTATTTGTCTTCTGGGATTTTTAAGAAAGTTATGTGACTGGTCTAAGCTTAATTACTTTAAGTAGCTTGTGTTCAAGAAGAATTTAGTATGGTTTTGAATTTGCATAGAAAAACAAGGATCTGAAATTTTTCTTCTTGATACATTGTGTAGAAGAGAAGAGTGAAGCAGAAGTGAATGCTACTGAAATAAGGTTTGCAAGTAGCACAACTGCTCTAGTATGAGGGAGTTAAGTTGATCTTAGAGAGTTTCCAATACTATTACAGCCTAGTTTGTGTTTATTTTAAAGCTTTCCAGTTCTCTTCTAACTGGAACATATTCCCATTTTACAAACACAGTATGTTTTCTCTCTTTGACAGGTAGGCACTTCCCAATGCCTAGCCCACATCAGGTAGTAGTGTTCTCCATGGAATGTGTGGGGTTTTCCAAATCCCTTCCCTCCTTCAGTACTCATAGTCCTACCAAACCTTCAGGCAAGATACTAGATTTAGTACTAGGCCTCTACATGCAGTTTGCTATGTGTGAGTTTTTGGGGTTTTTTTTTTTGCATATGCAAAAAGACAGAAAAACTTCTGTTTGCAAGCCATGATATCAAAATTTAAAGTAAAATTTTATAATTAAAGAAGCACATAAATTGGGCTTTTTTAAAAAAAGAAAATTATCTGCACTGTAGTATTCTAATGGCTTTTCATTTGAAATAAATATTAAATACAAAATTACTTTGACCATGGTTTGAAAAGATCAGAAGTGTTTCATATCTTTTTTGGAGAGCTGCTTGCTTTGCTTTTTGAATATAAGCATTATTGTGCATGTGGATTTCTAAGTGTTCGTTCCAGACATTACAAGTGAAAGGCATCTTGTTGACATTCTAAGGACCCTTTAGAAAAGCAAACAACCTTCAAGTTTTAAATTCAGTTAGTGATAAACTATCCTCAGGTCCAGAACAAATTCCTATAAAGCTTTCATTTTTCATACAGTTATGTGCTTTTTGATTTACTTTGACTTCTATAAAACCAACAGCAAAAATGCTACAATTAACTCAGTTTTTAAGGGAAGATTTTGTAAAGACAAATTTACTTAAATTCTGATGACTTTCTAAATCACATCTGAATATATATGCAGAGAGACAAAATGTAATTTTATATTTTTTAAAAATTATTATTAATATTTAGATGTATGGTACATATCAAAATGCCTTACCTTCCATTTATGGAAAACTGTAAATATAGTCTGTTTAAATAGCTTTATCAGACTTTTAGAAAATGTTTTCAGAATAGAGATCTTTACCCAAAAGTGAGCTCTTATTCTGATTAGCTTTCTCTGTGGTACTGCGTAAACATTTCTCTCTATCAGTTTAGTAAGGTAAACATGTTTGCTATCACAGATTGTCAGAAGCCTTACCTGACTTTTGTTGGCAATTCTGCTTACTAGGTGTTGGTAACTCTATAGTAAGCTGTGTTAATACTACTGCTACCACTGGTTTAAAATGCAAAGTATTTTTACAAAGAAGTGTATTCTGAAATGCTTACTAAATATAGCCTATATGCTGTATGTTTTTCTGAAGGAGGAATGCTGCCTGGCTGATTGCAGGTTTAATAAAACTGTTGCTGGAAGATCTCGAAGCTCTACCTAAAAATTGAACGGAAGAAGGAACATTTTTTTTTAATACTAGTTTTTATGCATAATCACTGAGAAAGTGGCCTAGAGGTGATGTGGGATCTCCATCTTTGGAGTTGCTCAAAAACTTGAACTAACTAAGTCATCAATTAAGTCAGCCCTATTCTGAGCAAGGGGTTGGACTAGGTGTCTTTCAACCAGTGTAATTCTAGGATTCAGTGGGTTGTTACTTGTTTTTAATGTGTGTTTATGTAGAGCAGATTTGGAGGAAATGTATTTCTCTGAAGTCCTTTCTTGGTCATATTGAAAAAAATGGTGGGAGGAGAAAGGAAAAAAAAAAAATAGACCTCCAATGAAGCAGAGGGATTAGGGTTAAAGTCAGCTATATTTTTGTGCCTTAACTGTTTCTGATACCCAGAAACAAATACTGAGAAGTGACTGGAATGCTTGTTCACGTCAACTATGCCATGTCCTTCTGTAATATTACTTAGATTTTTTTCTATATCTTACCATTTTGTTATGCTTAACTAGACTCTTCTCCCTTATCTTTACTTTTAGATTTTTGTGAAATGCTTCCACTCTCAAATGGAGATCAATAGATAAAAATTCTGAACACAAATAATTCTAATACAATAAGACTATGCATGTTTTCTCCTCCTTGCCTCACCTCCAGTCCTTTAGTACATATCTGAATGTGGGTGTTGATCTCCAAGTTTGAAACTTCTTTTAAGAGACCATAATTTCATGTACCATATTGGTCAATAAAGGTATTTCCCTTTCTGCTCTTTGCTTTAAAGCATGTAGTGGCTTTGAATATAAAATTTCACTTAAGTAAATATGATCTTTTAGACTCAAATGATAAAAACAGGAACCAAAAACCAGTATCTGGTAGTCTTATAAATTCCTAACCTCCGTTAGGAATATTCTTATTGAAAAACTTGTTTTAGTGCCTCTGTCACATAACAATCAGATCAAAACAGTTTGAAAGCTTTTCAGTTCACTCTGCTTTTCATCCATGTTTCTTGTTTTTCCAGTTGCAGGAAAGGATTTTGGCAAACAGAACTAGCCCATGATGTTTTGTTTTCCAAGAGGCAGTTATCATCTGAAAAAGAACCTTGTTGTTGATTATATTAGATTTTTTTCAGAATCACATTTACCATGTTTTGCTTGAAAACTACCTAAGCAAACTGTTTTATAATTTAAATCTATATAGAGATTGTAAGTTCTGTATCATACAGAAGGTTCTTAAGGGAGAATTTGACCTTTGTTTTGACAGTTAGAAATCCATAGTTTCATTTCATCTATTCAGTTATTCCATGCTGCAAGAGCAAATGAAGGGAAGTTGAAAGTAATCTGCCTTTTAGTTCTTCCTGGGAAGGTGAAAGGTAACAGATCTTTTGATTACCATTGCATGTCCTAGAACCTGGCAGAAATTACAGGATTTTCTTTGTCTGAAATATTCTTGGGAAATAACATAATTTTTTTTGTCATATTAGTAAAATGGGAGCAAAGATAAATGCTTCAAATAAAAAACAAAACCCATGTAAAAATTTTTAATTAGAAATATATGAGAAATTTGAAAGTGTGTTAATCAGTAATTTGAAATTCCAAATGACAGTCAGAACTTTAACAACATTTTTAATGTCGTTAAAGAAATCTGCATCAGTGGTGTTTGTCAAACCACTTAGGTGGTTGTTCTTTCACTTACCTTCTATACTGAATTTTTTCTAATGACTAGCCTGCAGTATTCTTAAAAATACAAGGAGTGATCCAACAGAAAGGAATAAAGTACTTTTAAAATAAAAAAGTAAAAGCTTTTAATAAAGTAGTTTTTAAATAAAACTTACCTTTTGAATTCTGCTTAAAAAAACAACCTGCAGACCTATACTTGCTCATTTCTGTATCATGCAACACTTGCTCCTTGTTTCATGCCTAGTGAATTACTTTTTTTTTAAGTAGTTGCTAAAAATTATCTAAAAATTCATAGTGATGCATGTGCATGCTCCTTAACTGATAAGCTTTGAATAATGTAATGAAAATGCATTGTATTGCCGTTATTGTGGTTTTCACTTTTAGTACAGGTAAGTGGATTTCAAATACTATTCCTAACAGGAAAAAAAATTATTATACAGTATAGAAGTGTGACACATACTGTTATGATATTCCTCTTTCAAGATGAAAGATGGGATGTCTTCATCTTTCATTAGATTCTATATATAAATTGTTTTGTGGCTGTTGTGGTTTAACCCCAACCATCAGCTAAGCCCCAGGCAGCCACTCACTCACTCATTCCCCCGCTGGCAGGACCAGTTAAATAGGAAGGGTAAAAGATAGAGAAACGGAAAGGGTAAAATATAGAGAAAACTAATGTGTTCAGGTCAAGACAATTTAATAGCAAAAGCTGTGTACACAGCCAAAGAGAAACAAGGAATTAATTCACTGCTTCCCGTAGGCTGGCAGGTGTTCAGCCAGCTCCAGGAGAGCAGGGCTCCATCATGTGCACTGGTGATTTGGGAGGACAAGCACCATGCCTCCAAATGTCCCCCACCTTCCTCCTCCTTCCCTCCCCTTTATGTACTGACCATGATGTCTCTGGAATATCCCTTTGGTCAGTTGGGTCATCTGTCCTGGCTGTGACTCCTCCCAGCCTCCGAGGCACCCCCAGCTCCCTCGCCAGGGTGGCAGTACACACAGCAGAAAGGGCCTTGTCTCTGTGTAAGCCTGCTCAGCAAGAACAACTCTGTGTAAGCAACTCTGTTTTCAGCACAAATCCAAAACATGGGACTGCACCAGCCACTTGTGAAGAAAATTACCTCTACCCCGACCACAATCAGCACATTAGTTCAGCTGCTTGTGATATAATCTTTGTCTTCATATGTAATCAAAAATCCTTCTGAATCCTGGAATAACATGTTTATTCCTGGTCCAGAAATGACCAGAAGTAATGAATAAATTCCATTGACTAGTGTGAATACAGATAATTTGTCCATTAGAAGAAAATAAATAAAAAATGGTGAGGTATGGAAATCCTGGAAGTTTTTTTTAAAAAACTATGTATTTAAATCTTAGTGGTCTCGAGTTACAATTGTACGGTTGGCTAAGTTTGTATTATGAGCAAGTAAGTATTGCGTATTGAAAAAAGTGTTTATAAATTACCACTGTTTTTCTGTTGTTGAGACTGTTAAACCTTCTGTTTTCAAGTGATTGGAATATCCGTAAGAGTTTTGAAGGACATAGTCTTTCAGAAACCTGTCAAGACTCAGAAAGTGTCCTGTGGATAAAACACTAAAAAAAATAAGGGTATAGGAAATACCCTTAGGTATATAGGTAGTTTACTCCAGGAACAGATAGGTGTACTGGCTCTTCTTTTGCCATCCTCAGCATTATTAACAGAAGGTAATTTTGGAAGCTTCCATGGTTGTTAGTTTTGTGGGCCCTTGGTAGCAGAAGGGAATAGGAAAATTAAAACAGTAAAGAACGTATTTGCATTTGTGATGTTCATGTTAGTTCATTCTTGCACCTGGTCTTGCCCAACGTGTTGATGCTTGAACTCGCTGGTAGAGATATCTTCCCTCAGGTGAGGTCTTTAAGCCTACAGAATTGCATTCTTGGCTCACACTTACTACTGCTGTTACATCATAAGGCAGCCCATACTCCCCTCTGCTTAAAAAAACTGACTCGGCTAAAGTCCAAGTTTTGTGGACTACAAAACAAAGTTCAAAAAATCAACTTCCTTTTTATTTTCATATTTAAGCTTTCTTTGTTTTACCTTAGTCTTGAACCCACTCCTAGGTTTCACTGTAGAAATTGATCTCTGTACATTCCATGTATCTATTTGAAAGAATAAAAAAATCTTTAAAAAAATCCCAACCATACAACAACAAAATACAAACGCAAACCCCACCTTTTCCAATCAAGTAGGAAATTGATTCAAGTTCATATTCTCTGTTATGAAAGATGGCCAACAAATTTCCAAATATAACTTCTTTTCTCCCTCATCGCTTTCACTTCTGGTGTGTTCTGGAGAGTCAGAACACTGACAATTGGTGACAAGTGACAATTGGTAGCATTCCTACTGATTCCTCTACTAATAGGCTATATTGGAGTATGAGTCCTAACAAGATCAAGAAGTATTTCAGAGTATAAGGGGATAGAAATATGTTAAGATATTCCTGAAATCTTAAATGAGCTATTTCCTTCAGTACTGTAATAATCAAGAATGGAAATAAAACCTTCCATTGACACTTCTTATTTTAAAAAAAGTCAATGCTGTGACAAGAGAGGGGACATGTCTACTCCTAGGATTTAGGGTGTTACTGTAAATAATGAATCTTTCCCCTTTTAATAAGTTGTATATTAGATTGTGTTAATTAAAATATTATCTTTTATATTTGCTGAGGAAATGTATTTTCAGGGCATGTGGATTTAGCAGAATTGTACTACTTAGTGAAAAAAATACAGACCTCCACTAGAGGGACACATGGAGTTACAAGTTGAAGCAGGAATGGCAAGCTTACGTATTTGCAATATATATACTGAAAAACAAGTGTCCTGGCTTGTCTTAAAAGCTAACATAATCAGTATTCAGTAGTTCTTATTAAAGTCATTTAGTTTTGGAAGATCGTTGGCTTGAGTAATAGTATTTGTCACCTTGTATGAGGAGATCTTTTAATTCAGTTATGGGTGTGAATTAAATAATTGTGCAGGGAGTTTTGACATACTGAAGTTCTAGTTATATATTAGTTTTATGTATTTGAGGATTTAGCATTCTCTGTGTTTAGTTGTTACATAAATGCTTAGATAAAATTCTGAAAACTTGTCATGATGGAAATTTTTACTTTTTATTAAGAATCCGTTTATTAAAAGCAATAGGGAGGTAGAGCAGAAGGTTTAAAGCAACATGCTCTATTTTCTTCTCCCATAGATGATGGAGAGAAACAGCAAAAACATTACCGGCTTTCATCAAAGACCTCTCCAAAAGAAAGTTCTCAGTTGCCTGCATTGCCGTTGCTAGACCAACAATCATCATCTTACAAAGAAAGATTTATCTCTCCTGAACTTAGCATCTGGGATTATTTCATTGCAAAGGTAATTTTTTTGCTGTTTTGACAATTAAGTGTCTTCTATCACTTCTGGATTGATAGTTTTTCTCTTCTTAGTCATTATTCTAGGTGATAGAATGTGCTTGTTTTTATTTCTCATGTTTAGCTTTTTCTAAAATGGAGCCTATACATATTTTTGAGACAGCTTTCTTGAAAACTGTTGTTATTCAATTAATTTATTTACAGATAATGGTATAAACAGATCATGTTGATTTTTATAGTTACAGAGTACAATATAATTACCTGTATATAATTACAGTTCAGGTATTTAGCTGAACAAGGAAATGTGAGAAGCATTTATCAGTTATTTCCACTGGGTAAAATGCATATGCATACCCACTGGAAGTCAAATTATGTTCCTTGTTTGTGGCATTGTGGTAGATCTTTCTTTCTAGAAAGTTACATACTTCTGTGGAATTGTACACACATTTCTTTATCAAGTGTTGCATAAGCAAAATAAACTAGTAAGCTAGTATTTTAGGAGCAAGGACAAAAAAGAAAATGCAAATACTGAATAGCACAGTGAGGCAATGATAATGGGATGATCATAAATATGAAACACTGTAGAGAGAGGATAGTATTTCTCAGAGCTCTTGGAAAAACTGAAGAGAATACAGTGGTTTTGGCTTCTCGCCGACAGGCTCGTGTGTCCCACATCTGGTTTGGTATATCTGGAATGAAAAAAAAATAGGAATTCAAAAACAGTTAGTGTTTTCATTTTCAGCATTAGAATTTTTCAGTAATGTAAAAAATAGTTAAGGTGTTAACTGATGTATGTTTACCCTTTTCATGAGGTACAAACTCCAAATGTTACTAAACTGAGTAAGATGATATGTCTACTTTATATGAAAAGCTTTAAGCATTGTAATGATTGAATTATTAAAAGGTAATTTAGAATGAGATGTTGGCTAGAAGATATTTACATAATTTTGTTGAAATTTTTAGCCATTTTTTCCATCACAAAGTAGAGTGGAATATGATTCAGAAGAGAGTCAGGAAAGTGATGAAGATGTTGAAGACAATGATGGAGATATATTTGCATCAAATGCACATAACCAAGAACATTCTAATTCAAATTCTTACAGGTAAATAGCTCTTTAGAATGCAAGATATTTTGCTGTGTATAGACTTGCATTTCTGCTTTTTTGTTTTTGAGATAATATACCAATTACTTAATATTTCTATATATTACCTAGACTTAGTAGTTAATTTTTCACAATAATTATTTTATTCATTTTAGTAGTATGTGGTGTAGTAATTTTTGAATTCAAAGTACCTATAATATTCCAAAGTGTGGTTTGTAGTTTTCAGTAGTTTATAATGATGATTTGAAGCTCTATATTTAAAACCTAATTTTGAATAAGTGAGAAAATTATTTTCCTATTAGTAAATCACTTACTAGTTCTTTCTTGTTAGTTGGTCACTGATGAGATTGGCAATGGTTCAGCTGGTACTTCACAATTTGAAGATTTTCTACCCTTTGGCTGGACATGATCTTTCAGGTAATAAGCAGCAGAGTTGTCTCTTCATACCTAATCAGCACATTAAAATCAGTAATGTGTTGAATAATATGCATATATTGTAGCTTTTAGTTCAAAAGTTCTTAGTTTTTTAGTGGTATGGGAATAAATGTTCTGATATTGTTATCATACAACAGGTATATTTATAAAACGACACGGTGGGTGGCTAAGATGAATGGGTGAGAAAAGTATGCAGAGACCTGAGCATTCTATGTTTTCTTTGCTTCTTAGTCACATAAGAATGTTTGCAATATTTATTTCCTGGTGGAAACACTGTAATTTTTTTTTCTAATTGAGTTGAAGTCCTACTCCTTGTTTCATAGACTCATAGAATGGTTAGGTTTTGGAAGAGATCTTTAAAGGTCATCTAGGTGCAACCCAGCCAACCACATTGTGGACAGGGGCATCTTTTACTAGGTGGTGTTGCTCAAAGCATCATCTGACATGACCTTCCACATCAGGGGCATCCACAACCTCTCTGGCAACCAGTTCCAGTGTCTCACCACTCCCATCATAATAATGTCTTTCTTTTATCTGATCAAAATCTACTTGCTTGGTGTGAAAACATTGCTCCTTCCCCTATCACTGCAGGCCTTGGTAAAGAGTCTCTTTATGTCTTTCCTGTAAGTCTAATTTTAGTATTGAAAGGCTGCTGTATTATGTCCCTGGAGCCTTCTCCAGTCCAGGCTGAACAACTGCAGCACTCTCAGCCTGTCTTCGCAGGAGAGGTGTTTCAGCCCTCTGACCTGTTTTTGTCACCCTTCTTTGGATCCTCTCTACAGGTTCCTGTCATTCCTGTAGAGGGGTGTCCGTACATGGATATGGTATCCTAGGTAGAGTGTCACAAGAATAAATTGGAGGGGCCAAATTCCCTCCCTCACCCTACTGGCTGCTCTTTTGATGCAGCCCAGTATGCAGTGGTCTTTCTGGTGCGTGAGCCGAATCATGCCCAATTTTTCATCCACTGGTATCCCTAAGTCCTCCTCCACAGGACTGCTCTCAGTCTGTTCATCACTCAGTTTTGGTACTGGTGATTGCCCTAACCCAGGTACACTTGTCCTTGCTGAAGCTTGTGAGGGTCACATGGGCCCGCTCCTCAGGCCTGCCAGGGTCCCTGTGGGTAGTATCCCTTCCCTGCAGGAACTCCGCTGCACTGCTCACCCTGGTGTTCTCTGCCAGCTGCCTGCAGGTGCCTCTCACTACCCCTGCCTGTGTCGTTATTGGAGAGATGGAACAGTACCAATCTCAGCATGCATCCCTGAGGGATGTCTTGTTACTGATCTCCATGTAGATGTTGAACCATTGAATGTAACTCTTTGGGTGATGTCATTCAACCAGTTCCTTAACTGTCAAACAGTCCATCCTTTTTGCTATGTTGTGTGGGACACTGTCAGAGGCCTTACAGAAGTTAAAAGTAGAGGACATCAGTTGCTCTTTTCTTGCCCTCCACCACAGTCAGTTCACAATAGAATGCCACTAATAGATTTAGTTTGGCACAATTTGCCCTTTATGAAGGTGTGTCAGCTTTCTCCTATCACCTGCTTGTCATCCATGTACCTTGATATCTTTCAGGAGGATCTGTTTCATAATGATCCACTCCATGATATCATCTCTCCAATATTACAGAAATCTGTTTCTTTTTTTAGAAAAAATAGCACTAAGCAGTTCATCTTCTTAGACTTGCAAATATTCACTTGAGGTTTGAACAAAGCTTACTTGTGGAGACATTTGAAATACACTTCAGCCTTCACCTCCTGGAATTCTCTTTATCAAGATTATAACAGAAAGGGGAGGGGGTTTATTATTATTTACTTGTCTTTCTAGAGCTTCCAGTTAGCTCCCCGATATGCCATGCAGTTTTGAAAACTTTACAGCGCTGGGAGCAAGTTCTTCTCCGGCGTCTTGAGCTGTATGGAGGTCCACCTCAACATTATATTTCAGTTCATGCTTCTGAAGATGCCCTAGCTGCTGGTCCTGCGTTGCTCCGCCACAAAACTTTACTCGAGCCTGCAAACACTCCTTTCAGGTGAGTCTGATTTCTGTAAACACTGACTGTAATATCTTTGATATAAATCAAGTGTTAGGTTGTTAGTGCATGTGATAGATTGCAACTTCAATAGCTATGTGAAATGAAGGGTACATGTCAGATTTCGTGCATCTCTGATTCAAAACAAGATCAGGAAAAATGTAGCACAGTTTCTAATTTTTAAAAATTCTTCTGCTTAAACTTAATATAGATTTTGAGTGTCTCTGGAAAAAATATGCTTGACAATAAAATAAAGAATAAAACATTCACCTTCAGAGATAATTATGGATTAGTGACAGTGAATTAAATGATTATCCCACCTTTAGACATAATAAAATTCCCTCACAGTTTTATCAGTATTGTTACCTAAATTCAGAGAAGAAATAATTTTTTTAACTTATTTTTACTGTATTTGCATAGGTATGACTTAACACAGTTGCATGTTCAGCCAAAAAATAGATTTCTGCCTTTTTAATGTTACCGTCACTTGTAGATTTCAGAATACAGACCGTCTGGTTTTTATTGTAAGATATTTCATCATGGTCACACTTCCAGTAACTCAGGTTGATTAAAAGGGACCAGTTTAACATGTATTTGCTCTCTGATATTATTTTAAAATTATGATTTAAAGCAATTCAGAGTTTGATGGATTTTGGCTTGTCTTAAGCAGCTATATATAGCAGCTATTTTGGTATTTGTAATTTTTACTTGAGTGTGCCATTTCTAGGGATAAACATAAACATTTGAATTCTGATCTGATTCTACAAGCCTTCCAATTTTGTTTTAAAAAATCATTGATGTTTCAGTGAAGTTACACAGCTGATGTGTTTCTTGCAGGAAGTGTTAGTCATTCATTGTCCATGTGAAAGGACCACTCTTTGGGACTTAACAGAAATTATTCACACTGTAAAGAATGAGCTGAACTAATAAATAATCTGTATGCTGCTCTTACTGTTGTGTAATCTCTTAAAGAGATTTTCTTACTTGTCCCAAGATAGAAGGATAAGATTCTACATATTCTGCTTGTTCTTCCTTTTGCGCCTCCTCTCACGTGTAGGTTTTCAGGAAGAGGGTATTACAGTTCTTCCAGATTAGTCTTAGTATACTGTCTATAGCTCTGTAGTTTTGCTTCAGCATTTTTTCTAACTATAGTTTGATTAGAATATAAAATACTGCACTCTTGTATAAGTATGAGCATGATGTATTTATTCAACTTCGTTCTGTAGATCTGGCAGTCATGTTGCACTGTCTGTGAAGAGGCTCTGGCAGTACTTGGTCAAACAGGAAGAAGTCCAGGAAACTTTTATCAGAAATATTTTTACAAAAAAGCGATGCCTAAATGAGGTTGGTATGATATATAAAATGTAATTTAAGTTACTTGGCTGGCTTGTTTACTTCTGATGCATGAAGGGTTAATGTACTTGTCAACAACTCCAAATCTACAGTACTTCATACAAAAAAACACTTTTCCATTGTTTCATAAAATACAAAAATAATCAGACTTTGTAAAATGACAACTAGCACAATGTTGCTACAGTCAGTCTCTTTAAGATCAATATAAAAGCTGCCTCAAAAGAAGGACAAAATGGACCATTTCAAAGATTAAAACCAGTAATCTAATGAGTCAAAGTATTGACGTTTTAGTTTGTCCCTACCGTACTCATCCTGGCTTTTATCCACTGGTCCTGATCTACCATGTTATGATTCACTTTTAATAAGAGAAGTGCTCATGCAGCAATTACTATTTCTGTTCCTGATTATTTGTCACAGTGTCTAGTTGGATTCCTGTTCCAGATGCAGTTAAATGGTTTTGAATGTTGGTTCTGTAATGAGCTTTTGGATTTTTGTCTCTCACTTTACTTCTTTTTCTTACTTACCCATGCTCTTAATTTTGAAAGAATTGCTGGTATAACAGAAAAACTGTAGCATAGCAGAAATGGAGGAGAAATAAGCAGATGTGAACAAACTAAATATGTAGGAGAAAGAATATTCATGAATAGTAAAGCTGTGGCAGCAGAGAGTTCTGCATGACCTAACCTTTGTCCTGTCACAGCTGGAATATTAGCTTGTTTGGGTAATGTTGGCTAATTGTGTTCACTTTGGAGTGCAGTTAAAAGGAAAATTGTTCCTTTTTGCCATTAAAAGCGTGCCACTTCTGATCATATCTTATGTTAATACAGCCATGTTATGCTGTATGGATAGATATTTTGTAAAATTTTAGATGTGCTTTATATGTTGCAAGGTAGGCTCACAGCCTTACACAGAGTAATTGGCTTTATTTTCTATCTTGTTGCTGATAAAATGTCAGTGTAGATTGTTTATTTTTCAAGAAATTTGGCTTTTGGGATGGATTAGATGCTGTTACAGTACAGAGTAGGTAAATCAGTGTATTCTGTACAGAAAACAGAGTTTAGAATTTGTTACTTATTCTTACTGTATAAATTATGCTCATGTGTGTGCAGCCATGCTGTTGTGTTTCAGTTGTCCTGTGTTGGAGTAGGCAACATGGAATTGAGGATTTCCTTGATACCATGCATGTTATGTCTTACCTTTATGCTCTGTTCTGTGGTGTTTCTTTCGTTGGTGAAGTCACTAGAGGAGCACAATGAAACCATGAAAAATTCTGTGGTGGAGGAACCTGTCATCAATAAGGTACACAGTAATAATTCTCAAATTTATTAGACCTAGCACGGTTATGATTTTTTTTTTTTTGTCTCAATAGTGCTGATCTCACTTTAAACAAAAGACTTTGCTCACATAGCAAACAAACTTAAAAATTTTAAAAATCCCTGCAAGGGATTTAATTAAACTATTTCAGAGTTTATGTGAAAGTTAATTATCTTAACTGCATCAACTAGGTACAAACAATAGCTATTATCAACTTCTGTACCTTGGCTGAGTGAAGAGCTGAGATTTGCCCAAGTGACAAAAATTCAGTAGAAGTATGATACACAGTACATACAGAACTTTTGATCAGTATGAGCTTCTATAGCTGCAGTTTGTTAGCATGATAGGAGTGTGCTACTGAAAGCTTTCACTAAGCCTTATTTTAAAGATGGTGACAAATCAACCCATGTAACAGTATTTTTGCAACTGTCTTAAAAGATTGGTGTGACATACTAAAAAGGTAGAATACTATGGCTAGGTACTCAAATTAATACCATATTCCTTTCTTTTACAAAACTAGTGTGAAGACAGAAATGTGAGCACTCTGTGGCTTGGGCTACCTTATTAATACTAATTATGTGATAATGGAGTATTAGCAAGTAGGTAATTGGAACTGGCTGGAGAAAAAATAATTTTAATTTCATGCAGGTTGGTTCATCATAAGACACAAATCATGGTTTTGTATCTGTTTGCCACTGCAGTTTTGTCCAGTGTTATATGCATAAAATCAGTGAAGTATCAATTTTATTTTGACTTTAAAAAATATATTCTGCTTCTTGGTCTGTAACAACTGTTCTTTTAGACTTTGTAAAAGACCTTTTTCAGTTCTTTGACAGAAAAATAATGCTGTTTTTCAAATTGTTATTTTTTTTGTTAATTCATATTGTTGTTTAGATCTTTTAAAGCACAGAAAATTAAGAATTTGAAGATGAGAGGCTGGAAATAGTTCTGACAATTCTTTAGAGTTTTTTTTTTTTTAATTAAATATTACATTTGTAACTCAGGTTTGAATTCTTAGGTCGCCAATTATTTGGCAGTGTTATTGTTTTTACTGTAAAATTATTTTATAACAGTCTATGTCAGTAACCTATCAATTTAATTATTTTGATGCTGAGTTCTTTAATTTAGAAAAGGACTGCTACAGTGCTGGTAAAGTTTAGAGTTTTGTTGTGTGCTGTCATGTACCTGATTGCATTTTTAAAATACAAAATTATAGACAATATTCAAATCCAGCATTAAATCACATGGAGGAGAAAAAGTGATAGCAAAAGGTTTGTAGTTCTGACATGTACAGGATTCCAGATTTATATAATTGCAATAATTGTGATTAGATGCACTGGTGAAGTTCAAATTCATTTTCCTGTTCAAGAGCTTGCCTGCACCTTCTTTTGAACTATTTCATCAATTTCAGTGGCAAAAGGTGTTTGCTAAGAGCAATCATAGGCTTAGCAAACTTTTTTGAGAGCAAAACCGTCAACATTCAAAATCAACAGTGTGCTGCATGTAGCCTTGCTGGTTTTCAGCACCCCCGAAAAACTTGAAAATGAACACATTACTGTAGCTTGTATGACAAATTACTTTTCTCTGTTGCTGCAGTAATCTTAACATGGCATGGGAAGCTATGTTATTACACAAACCAGGGTTAGGGTAATTGTTACAGGCTATGTTTGTTGAGTTTCTTTGAATTAAAATGAAGGGAAAAAAATTTCACACGTAATGTTGTTTGGTCTCTGTACTTTCCATAAAAAGTGGTACTGCATGGAAGTTTGCATTTAACTATGCTTTGTTTTTTAAATACAGGTAGAAACAGATCTGGGATACCCTGGTGGCAAGGCAAGAATAATCCATAAAGAGTCAGACATCATTACTGCTTTTGCAGTCAATAAGGTGAGTATAAAGGAGGTAGAATAATCTAATTGCCATGTTTTCCACCTGATACATAGGCACATTGTGACTGGGTGAAATAGGCTTTGCTAGCCATCCTGCTGGCTAGCAAAAGTTTTTAGCAGCTACAACTTTTAGCGGTCCTTCTGTAAAACTTCAAAATTACCTTTTCATGAATATGAAGATGAAGTTCTACTGCAAATTTTCCTTTTTCTATTGTGCAGTGAATTGATTGAAGGGAGAGGTGACTTCTACTTTTTTTTAGGCTTGTGTGTAGGAGTATTTGTCCTTTTCTATCTAACAGGAAGTAATCTTTTCTTCTCTGTTCAGCCATGTAACCCTTCAGAACTGGAGGAGGGGAGCCTGCTTGCAAGCTTTGTAGTATAGTTGCCTATTGCTTATCCTCTGAAGAAAGCAAGGAGATAATTGAGCTGCTTGAGAGGTACAAGGTGCAGATAGTGGATGATACTATCCCTGATGCAAATAAGTTTAGAAAGGGAAATGTCAAGTATAAATATACATAGATTTGTAGATATAAGTGTTTGGAAGTTGTAAATTAAGTGTACATTTTTGAGAGCAACAGTGCCATAATCATAAAAAAATGGAATAAGTCCATTTTTAGGGTTTCCGTTTGCATCAGTCTTTCTCTATGCTATTTTTTCAGGCAAATCGGAACTGCATTGCAATAGCATCAAGTCATGATATTCAAGAATTGGATGTTTCTGCAATTTTAGCTACGCAAATTTACACCTGGGTCGATGATGATATGGAAATAGAAAATAAAGGGTATATGTTCTTTGTTTTCAGTATCACACTTGACTGTGCTTATCAGAGTAACAAAACATGGTATTTACTGTTGCTGTTACTGTCACTGTTACTGTTGCTGTTCTGAATCTTAATTTGAAATGTTATCTTAATTTCTAGGGCTGATGATTTCCTAGTTATACACGCTCGTGATGATCTCGTAAATGTTCAGGGAAGCACTCCTTATACTCACAGTAATCCTGGCACACCTATCAATATGCCTTGGCTTGGTAGTACACAAACTGGCAGGGGTGCATCTGTGGTAAGTTGCTTGTCAAAGATTAGCTTTATGTATTCTATCTACTTCCCTCCTATTATCTGTTCAATCTTGTTGGGTATATTTTGCAGTAGAATATAACCTAAATATATATAACCTTTATATAACTAAATATAACCTTTCTGTGTAACCGAGGCAAGCTGGATTTTATTTGTAACAATTAATAGGTTAAAATACAGCACAGAATTTAAGGGACAACTAAACAAGCAAAGCTTTCAGTCAAGTGATATATGCCTTTTTAAAAGCATTATCTAAAAGCAAAGAATCAGGATTTGGGTAAGACGTTAGATTGTGAATTCTTCTTTAATGACTTGAAGCTGAATGGTCTATTATAAAAAGCATATATTTAGCAGGTTTTGGAATATAAATTCATAAGGATTGGGTAGAAATATTTACATGAAATTTTGTGGTAGCTTTTATTTTAAGCATAATCTTCATCTTCATTCTGAGCTTCAGAAACAGATCTTGTGTCTGGAATGAAGCTTGGCCCTGAGCAAAAGGCTATTAGGTTAGATTTAATTCTGATCAAATGATAATTGTAGCCTGGCTATTGGCATTCTTATCTTAGTTCCTATAGAGCATAGATACTGATCTGTTGATTAGTTGACTGAGAGATGCTTATTTGGAGACACTTAAGCAGACTGAGATGGTTGTATAAGACCCCAGTATCTCAGTCCTTCTGCTCATGGAATGCAGAAAGTAGAGTTTTCCTAAATAACCAAATGCATTACGTCTTGAGACTTGACTGTACATGGTGTCATTTAACAATTCAAAGCAAGTTTATAACTGGTGGCAAAATTAAGTTACCATATGTTAATTAGTATTGTTGTTGACTTGAAAATAGCTGACAAATAGGAGGAGTAAATAAGGAATAAGCATTATAAGATTGATAATGTTTTCCACATATAGAAGTGGGTATTGTGCCAGTGTTGCAGCTCTGCTATTACAGTAAGGTATCTTGTGAATTCTCTTCGTGAATGCCTTTGGCCACTTTCTCTTCTCACTTTCATTTTATAAATATATATATAAGTACATACAAAATTTTTGTGTTTGTGTATTTCTCAGCTTTAAGTAATTGCGTAATATATTAATGCAAATGGTATTTACATGGCCTTTTATTTTGCATGCTGTAAAACTTTCTTCCCAAATATATTTGGCTATGCTTGTGTTGAATGCTTCTGTTAAACTTTGGACCTGAATTTTGTCTGGCATATTGCTTGACTGTGGCCGACAACCCACCACAGCATAGAACAGCACCTCAATAGGGAGGGAAGACAGAGGTACCTAATGAAGGACAAAGTAAATGAAGGAAAAAATAGGGAATCTCCAGAGGAAATAGTGTTGCTGAGGAAGAACTGGAGCCTGGAAGAAAAGCAGCTTCCCTAAGACCTTTCCTTTGCTACTATTTGCTACTTTGTTCCTTCAGATACTACTGATTCTTGATGTCATCTTTGCTTTTCCATAAAGTGCATCCCATTCGGTAGTTGTAGCCCACTGTTTTGTACCACTACTGGCTTTTCAATCTCATTGTCTTTGATTCACTTTCATCAGCAAGGGACACTCAGGCATTAAAAGTTTTATTAGCTCTAAGTTTTTTCTGTCATTCTTCACTGTTCCCTGTTACACAGCTTATAGAAGGTAAGTAAGGAAGGTCAGACACTTCAGCACAGTCTGTTTACACAGTTCTTACAGGAGGTGTTTGTAAGACAATGCTGAACGAAATAGTTTATACCTACAGTTCTGAAACTCAGGCAGTATTACCAACAGCTTGTCATACAAGTCAGTGTGACTGATACCAAAATTGAACAGTTTAACAATGAGTGGGCTGGAGTTAAAAGGTTAAAGGTGCATTTTTATTTTTCCGTCTTAATGTACATTAAGGCACAAAGCACCCAACTGTCCAGCAAAGCAACCAGTGTTCTAGCCATCAGCTGTTCTAAGGGCAAACTGAGAGCTAACAGTGTCAAATGTCAGTTACATTAATAATGGAAGCATTTGCATTTTATAATTATACTTCTCTTCTAAATTGGAGAAACTGTACCAAAGAGTTCTGTTAGTGTAGCCCTTCAAAGACACATTTCTGTAAATTTGCATTTTTTCCAAAGCATAATCCAGCAGGGGTTAGGAGATCATGATGTGTGCTTATCTGTTGAATGGAGTAAGATGACTTCCGTTAACTTCTGGGTAAAAGTTAGTAGCTGTAAAACTCAATACAGCCCTCCATTTTAGTGAAGAGTGACCATGAATTATTGTTATTCCATTTATATACAGAAGAGAAGTTGTGAGTTTAGAGAGCAGTGTATTGCAATTATAAGTGCATGCTACTCTGTAAATGTTTGAAGAATGTCGTTCTCTGTTGCCCTGAATTTTAAAATGTATATATAGTTTTACCAAACCATTTGGCTTTTTCCTTGATATTCAAAGTACTTAGAGAAAAAGAAAAGGAAATACATATTTCAATATCACATATTTTATCTTTAGAAAGTGTTTTGGAATTAACTTGAATAACTGAGGGGCACAAGGCTTTCTCTTCAACAGTGATAAAACTTTGAGAATTGAAAGATATAAATCTGCTTCCAAAATGTAATTAAGAGGATTGTGGTTATTCCACAACTCCAAACCCAGGGAAATTTTTACAGGAAAGTAAATTATTTCCCTTTCGAGTACTTTTCTTCATTTTTGTTTGCAAACTGATAGTTTAGAAGATACTTATTTTAAACTCTATTGATCGTATTTAGGAATATGAAACACATGAAAATTTGTAATTTCTGCCTCCTTCCAGTTGACACCCTGATAAATTTGGAGGCTTGGTATGAATAGCATAATTGAAATACCTCATCACTATCTACTGCCCCATGATAAAGCAGCATTAAAATACAGTACAAAATCTACAGCAGTTGAAAGTCACAGTTGGATTCAGTGATGTTAAAGGTCTTTTCTGACCTAAACGTTTCTCGGAAAGTGGGTCAGTGCCACATTGCTGTTGGTGGGTGGTAAGTGATAACCTGCTGTGTTGAAGATGAGTGCCCTGGCAGCAAAATTTCATATGTGTTCTTATTTGAAGTTAACACCTGCCATAAATACATATCTTGCCCTTCTCAAGTGTTGAGGTAAATAATACATGTGTGAGCAAACCAAATCCAACAATTCTCTGAGGAAAGAGTCCTCAAAGAAGTCAGATACTTTTGAGAGTTATTGGGGAGTAAACAAATGAAAACTAAACTTTAACATACATTAGGAGAAAGAAAAGAAGGGAAGAGACAACACAGGCACAGATGTATTTCCTTGATTAAAAAAAAATCTTACTTTTTTTCCTTTTGTGTTTTGAACATATTGTTTAAATAGATGAGGTTTAAATATAATTGTCTAATGTTTCCAGTCCTCTTTGTACATTGAGTTCTTCCCAGTAGGGATTAATAAAATAAGAGAAAACAAAAATTTGGGTGATATGCCTAGCTCAAAGCAGATTTTGGAACTTAGGAACAAACATGCTACTGAAAATTCGTTGGATCTGTATTTGCAAAATTATAAATATATTTGAAGAATTTTTTATTTATTTACTTACTTATTTTATACCAGTTACATGGTATATTGCTTATTCTGGATGCTCACAAATAGCCACTTTTCAATCAATGGCAGTAAGTTAACTAGACTTGAAAATAGATATATTCCTTCCTATTTTTTCCTTCTGTTAAAGTTTGTTTACCTCTTTCTTTACATGCTTCTGCCTTTCTCTTGCTTATCTTACAATATTCAGGAATATTCCAATAAATTTAATGGAATCAGAAAGGAATTGGCAAGAAAAGAGGTAAGACTGCAGTCTAAGGAGTGTTTATATTTGGAGCCATACATTTCTGAAGCAAAAGTTTAATATTTATCTAGATGTATAAAACTGCAAAAGTTTTAATATCTACACTAATCTTGGAAGACACAGATTTCTGTCTGAATCTCTAAACTCTGTACTTGTTTTCATAGGAATTTTGGTAGGAAACAACCATCTGCATTCACTAATTATTCTCTAGTTTGATAACTTTTTGTTCAGTAATACTGTTTTTTTGTATGTTGAACAGATGCTCAAGAAAGCTATTAATAATGTCAGAAGAATGGCTTCTCATCCAACACTGCCATATTGTAAGTTCAGGTTCTTATAAAAAACAGAAAGGTTATCAAAAGATTATATATTTCTTACTCATCTGTTTCTGGGTGTGTTGCTATTTTATACTAGAACAACAATCTATTATATTTTGAAAGTTCTTTATAAGCCATACTTCCTGAAACTATTTTTCATTTTAAAAAACAATATTGGAGATGTAGAATAGCCTTTAGAAAAGGCAAAAAGTACTGTATTTCTCTCTTATTTGTGACTAAAATGATAGTAGAAAATATGTGTAATTATCTCCAAGTAAATAGCTTCATATTTCATGAGCATCTAAATAGAAATCTTCGGGTAATGAGCAACATGACTTTGATGTGTGCTCCTGCACCAAGATAGATACTATGACATAATTTTGGCACTAGTTATTTTGAGATAGTATGAGTTTTCTCTAAATCATAAAAGCTACAACTCTTGTGAAAGGTCACATTAATATTTTCTGTTGCAGACCTGACGGGTGCTCAGGATGGAAGTGTAAGAATGTTTGAATGGGGTCATGCGCAGCAGATCACATGTTTTCGATCTGGTGGCAACTCCAGGGTAACTCGAATGCGATTCAATTACCAAGGAAATAAGGTAACTGACAAAATGCTTCTGTATGCCTTGTCTTCTCCCCTCCCCCAGAATACTTGCAAATTAGCAGAAGCATCACATGTTTCTAATTTAAAGTATTTTTTCAAAATTGTGAGTGTTTTCTCTGCAATACATACTTATGTATTTGCTATTTCTGTATATTTTCAGTTTGGAATTGTTGATGCTGATGGATATATAAGTCTATATCAGACAAATTGGAAATGTTGTCCACTTACTGGAACTTCACCTAAGCCATATTTGGTAAGCTGAATGATAAATTAGTTTCCATAAACTTGCCTTGTGTTCCCTAACTTCTTTCTCCCTTCAGAATAGCTAGGAGAGGGCAAGGATTGTGATGTTAACCAGTACTAATCAAGATTAAGTTATGTATTGCTGCCATCCTGTGGTCTGTATGACAAATTTTTACACTCTAATAAAACTTGTTAAGTGGAGAGTGGAAAATGTAACATGAGATCTGAAATAACTTTAATATTCATTGAGACTTGTCAATAATTGTCACATGTCAATTAATGGATAGTTACATAGGGCTGCAGAGTACATTTCCATTAAACATTAAGAATCTTATAGGCGTACCAATACCTTTGTATCCTATGTTCTTTAAATTTCTTGCTAAACAACTTTTCTTCTCAAGGAAGTTTAATATTACCTGCTTGCACAAAATAGATTCCTTTTTAATTAATAATTTAAAACTGCAATTTTTCAGACATGGCAATGTCATAACAAAACCGCCAATGACTTTGTTTTCATCAGTTCGTCATCTTTGATAGCTACAGCAGGATTTTCTTCTGACAACAGGTAAGATCTATTGTGGTAATTCATAAAAGTGAAGTGGTGCCATATTTTCTCTCCTTTCCCCCACTTTGTGGTTTTTTGGTTTTTTTTTTATGATTCATGTTAAGCAGTTTAAGAGTACTTCTGCTTGATTTCTTTCTTGGTGGGAGAGGGACGGAAGCAATGTTTGCAGCTAAATTCATGTGCCTATTAAGAGAGATTTCATGAGGAAGCACAAATATCCTGCTCATGTTCCCTATGAAGAGGAGAAGTAGAAAGAGAGGTCCTGAGTGATTTAGCTGGGAATTCAGTGAGGGGTGTGTGGGAATGGTTTAAAGCTGTTCCAGGGAAGGTCTGGCATGAGATTGGACATCAAGAAACATTTTATTACCCAGAGGTTCAGACACTGGAACAGGCTTCCTTGAGGTCAATCCCCAAAGCCTGTCAAGAGTTTGAGGCATTTGGACAATGCCCTTAATAACATGCTTTAACTTCTGGTCAGCCCTGAAGGTGCCAGGTGGGTGGATTACATAATCCTTCTAGGCCCCATCCAGCTGAAATATTCTGTTCTGTTCTATGCACTTGAACCTGTTGTAAATTATTTTATAGCTCTGGGGAATTTGCATAGCTCTAGGGAATTTGTATAGCTCTTCATTTCTCATTTGTTTTCATAAGTAAGTATTGATCAAAAAATACCAAAACCTTCTAACATTCCTGTGAATTAAGCTACAGAAGATAGTTAACATTAATGCTTTATGGAGATAGCCAGTTGTAGACTACTTATGTAGATGGCATGTCCTTGCAGTGTATGATAAACTATGGAAGTAATTTGGGGTCTGCTCAGATATCATCATTGAGTCTATTTGCAGTTCTTTATGCCTGAAACAACCTTTTTGAGGTACAGATGGCTTTTCAGGAGTTCAAAATACCTTAGAATATCTGTTGCTGAATTAAGCCATGTTGTTTTCTACAGAAATATTTGTCTTTGGGATACTCTGGTTTCTCCTACAAACAGCTTGGTGCATGGTAAGTAAAACACAGCAACCAAAATATTTGACCATAGTATTAAAAAGTGTATTTTTGAGTCTATCTTTATGAAAGAAGATTACTTAGGGAAGTAATTTTAACATTGGCAGTAAAACATCTTTCACTGTTCTGTGTGAGTGCACCAGTGGTAGTATAAAACCAGATACTTGGTGTTCTATATGAATGATTGATTTCATGGACATGAGCCCCTTCCTTTGCATGCCTTCTGTCCTTGGACCACAAGTGCGAGCCAGACATTTCTGTTCCTTTTTAAAAGGCTCTGGGCAGCTTCTGCTTCAGAACAGTTATTCCTCTAAGTAGGATTTTGGGGGTGCAAAAATTATTTAGCTCTGTTTCATTAGTTTTATTTGTTGCAACTAATACAAGAAATGCATTTCAATATCTGAAATATGGAATTGAGATCAGAGAGTTGTGAACTCCTTGTACTTAAAGTATGGTGAATGCCTAAGTGTATGTGAGACACATGGAATTTCTAAATGTAAATTCATAAGCCCTTTGAACTAAAAGTACAGCATACCAAGCTGTATTATGATAATTGTAGTTTTAATTTTCTTTTCTTACTCCTTTAGGGGAGTGGACATATCCAAACAAATGTAAGAAGAAACAAATTAGCATTTAAATGACCAGTGGAAACTTGAAAGATATTTGTGCAAGTAGTTTAGGAAGAATTTTTGATGGGCATTATATGACTTAAAAAAACCAAATTATATTACTTAAAATAACAAATCTGTTACTTTAGTAGTAAATTATTAAAATAATCTGTTTCTGGTCAAGGATTAATAGTTTGTGGTTACACAGGGATAGAAATAAGAATATAATTTTTTGTTAATACAGATTTTAATTGCTTAATTTGAGAATACGGCAGCTTCAGAATGTCTGATGGGAACTTGGGTTTACATGTAAATTCATACTGCTATAAGTAGGCTAGTTGTGGTCAGCTGGAATACAGCATCAAAGTCACTGTTGCTACTGTCTTGCACTAGAGATTGATGCAAAATATAAGTTAGTACAGTGTTCTATTTGAATTACTTTCCTTTGGCTTTCAGCTTTTATCTGTCATGATAGTGGAGCAACTGTGCTAGCATATGCTCCGAAACACGAGCTGTTGATATCTGGAGGCAGAAAAGGCTTTACCTGTATAATTGATCTTCGCCTAAAGCAGCAGCAGCAGTTACTCCAGAGTCATGATTCTCCAGTCAAAGCAATTGCTGTTGATCCTACAGAAGAGTATTTTGTCACAGGATCTGCTGAAGGCAACATAAAGGTATTAATGAGGGAGAGGGAGCAGAAGTACTGTGTATGTTCAGAAGGAATCTTGTACAGGTGTGGAACAATCAGATGTCATATATACTGCATTCATTCTCAACTCTGACTTTCACGTTTATGAATTTAATTATGAAATGTCAGTCTTAACCTCTTCTTAATGGATTCCTCCTTTTAATTAGTGATACTTTAATGTCTCTCTTTACTAGTATTCTATAAACGTGTCATTACAGATTGCTACTGATTCTTCTTCTACAGTTAGTGTCAGAAAAGTAAATGCAAAATGTAGTACAATTCTACACAATTCACTGTTGATGATTTTAAGATCATGGGGATTTTCCTTGTAAGAGATTAATGTTTTGATGCTTTTCCAGGTATGGAGTCTGTCTGCATTTAATCTTCTTCACACCTTCATCAATGAGCATGCTCGACAGTCTCTCTTCAGAAACATTGGGACAGGAGTCATGCAAATTGAAACAGGACCAGCAAATCACATATTCTCCTGTGGTGCTGATGGAACAGTAAAGATGAGAATCTTGCCTGATAGATTCAGCCCTTTAAAGGATGTGTTAAAAAATGATGTGAAGTTTATGATCTAATGTTTTTCTCAGAACAGTGAATAACATTCCCCTTCTGCCATCCTTGAAACTATTTTTTCTGGAGCTAACCAACAAAGCAGATGCACAATGATAGCTTGTGATACAACGGTGTTTTGGTTTTTTTCCTTTCTCCCCTTCTGCCCCCAACCCCCTATTTATTAATATCCTGGAGCTTTTAGTCCCTGATGCACTAATGCCTTAAAGATTAAAAGGTCCTTCAGATTTTGATCATTGCCTAAAATATAAGCTAAATATGACTCCAAATTACATAGTTATAATTTATAAAGATGTTGCTGAAGTGGTTTACTCTTCCTTTTGAGGTAATTACACTCTCACCTGGAGTGTACCATTCTGGGCATGACCTCTGCTTATATTCAACACCTTGCCACCTTGTAAAAGCATGTCAGTCCTGATGGAAACCTGCCACCTTGTAAAAGCATGTCAGTCCTGATGGAAACCTTAGGTAATGTTTTTTCACTGTGGCAGCCATAACTGTCTCTCTTCTCAATTTGTTTAGTCAGCCAACAATAAAAATGTATACCTATGTGCAGAAGAGAAACAAAGTCTCCAGGAGTGAATATTCCTGTTCATGCAGACATTCATATAACGAGCCACTTTTTCTCTCCATTCCTGAAATCCAGGCTGTTTACCTCTCTTAACTTGCCTGATCTCCTTCCTCTCATCTAGAGTATAAAAAACTGAAGGATGTTCTGTAACTTGTCTTCTGTTCTATAGCTTGAATCACTGCCATCAGGATGGCAGGCTGACCTTTTAAAAATAATGTATTTTTAACCCTGAACACTCCCTTTACAAAACTAAAATGTAAATATGAATGGATATCTTCCTAGTAAAATAGTCAAGATTATGTATGAAGCCTTAGACTTGATCAAAAAGATACAGGAAGATACTGCTTTAGGTTACGGTGCTAGAATTTCTTCAGAGATTATTTATTTAGATGTCTGTAGAGGGAAAAAAAGAAAAACCCAACCTAATTTATTTTTACTTTTTTTTCTGGTAAGACTTTTATTTAGCCCAAATAGTCCATTCTTAGCACTTACATTCTTTTATGTCTGTTTTTTCTAAGTACTTTAAAAAAGAAAACTAGTTCAACTGCAAAGTACTTCTGCACTGTCAGTCTTTCTTTCTTGATGTTTATGTTTACATCTGGTGTCAGATGAAAGAAAATAAACTGAGAAGTATAGATGTAGAGGGCTTTTTTTTTGCCAAAATATTTAACTGCATAACTTAAATGTTTGACCAAATTATTAATGCACAAGGCCTTTACTTTTTTTTTTTTTTAAGTCAGCTAAACTGTTTCTGTTTATTTTTGGTTTGTTTTTCCTTACTTGAGAGTTGACAAAGGTTTAATTTGTAAATTAGATATGAGGCTGGATTACTTGAATGCCAATGGTGTACTTTTTTGCTAAAAGATATTTTGTGAAATAAAGCACCAAGATACTAACTGTAAAAGAAACCTGTCAAATTAGGAACTATGGGGATAAATAAAGCATAGCAGAAATGAAGGGCTTGTATAGTGAACTATGTAACATTCTCAGGATGCTTTTATCTTAAGAATATAAAGTTGTTTAAAAAGATTTTGTAAAATGTATTAAGGTCATTTTAAATGTATGTTTCGCAAGTTGCAGTGCAAACACTATGAAGGTTTTTATGCACATAACCTGAATTTTCAAATTGTGCAATAACAGAATGTGAATGTTTTACCATGAGGAAACATGTGACAGCATTTCAAACTGGTACAGCTGTTCAGTGATTCAATTGTAATTGTTCTTCCTTAACACTTAGAGATTGAAATTGAACATGATTTCAAAACAGTTTAAGTACAGTGATGGACCAGAAAAGTGACTAAAAGTGACACCACCTTACAAAATAGACTTGCCCAATGAGTATGAGTTATCTGCTCAGTGGCTGAATTTCTAATACTTTTTATTCTTGTGGAAGAAGGAAATCAGGGGGATAAACTGTAGCACACTGCTTTAGAATCAACTGAAACCATGACTTTGTAGCTGCTTTATATAAATGTGTCAGTTTTATACACCCACTGAACTAACAAAGTTACATGTGCACAAACCATGACACAGTATTATATAATTATGTCCTTGATGTTTTGTCCTTAAATATTTATATCTTATTAGCTTTAATACTTCAAGCTCAAATCTGTTGTACTGGCAATCACAAGAAGTTGTCTTACCGTCTGCAAACTGAGCAGATTTTAAATGCAATTTGCCATGATATAAAATGTTGTCATTTTTCTGAGTAAAGCTGCACTTTGAGAAATCTTGGCAAACTTAGGCTTATACCAGAAAATTACTGACCTTGACCAGGCATTTTCAGTAATGTTTATAGTTACCATAAGCTATCCCTGAAACTAAATTATGTAAAATCACAGTGTATTTGCCACACCTTTATAATCTTTCCAATAAATCCTGCAGAAACTCAACCTTCTACAGTTCCATGTTGCTGCTATTTCATTTACAGATCAGTTGTTAACTTGCATATTGTTCTTTGATGTTTAACTATTGTAAGACAAATTGTCCACTTTCTTGTAATGATGGAGTAAAAATGAGTTAAATTCTGTTGTATGTGAAACTTCTAAAGGGACACTCTCAACTTTGAATGTAGTCATTGGAGAAGAACTGAACTCAGAATCCTCTGGCTGTTGCCCTTAACTTCACTGACTTTTGTCCTCCAGCAATTAATACTTTTTCCCTGTTGCTATGCAAGTTACTCAAACTTAAGGGTACTAGAGCCTACAGAGGTCCCAGTGCTTACAGTAGCCATGTGCACAAATTAAATGTGAAATTTACTTCTGGCAGTGTTTAATCAATAATACTGTTTTGTCCAGACAAAATAATTTAGCTTGTAGTTGATAATGCCCCTTTTAAATATCATAGAGTGGGAGCTGTGACTTATGTTTGTATTTGTAGCAGTACATAATACTGTCAGTGTGTCATTCTTGTGTTGCTAACTGATTCTGTTACCTTAGACACATGATCCAAGTTCTTCGTGATTACTTCAGCAACTTGTGAAAGTTAAAACTCTGGCCATCTAGGTACTTAAACTGGCTTGCTGGGTGACTTTACACCAGAAAATTCTCAGCTGACAGCTGACATTGCAGATGTTCATGGAGAAAGGTGGAAGAAATGCAGATTTTGTACTGCGCCAGGGTGGTGCAGGGTGAGGTCATACATGTTCTACTGCATTTTAGGAACCTCAGAACCAGTTGCAGGAAATAAACTATGGCGATATCCTGCACTAGGTACCCCCTTCCTATTAAGAGCACCCAGTGTTAGATTAGATGCAATAGTTATTAAAAAAGCAACAGTGATTAAGGGGAAATAAGCTTGGAGATTATATATTCTCCAAGGTAATTTTCAAATGTTTATTTTTACTAATAATAGCAAAACCATCGGTAATGGTTCGGCATATTGATCAAACTACTTTCTATAAAATAAAGAGATTGATTTACCAAGTTTCATAGTGTTTCTTATTCCTCCCATTTCTAGCTCTAAAATATGGATGATTTTGATTTTTTTTAATGCATTATGGTCTCACACTTTATCTTTTTCTAACTTTCTGGTGTTTGGGAGGGGGACTGGTTGCTGGGGGTTTGTTTTTGTGGGGTTTGTTTGTTTGTTGTTTTTTTTTTTTTTTACATATAAGTAACAAAACTGAGCAAAATGAAATTATTTTGCAGTGTAATGAGGCTGATGCAGTAATGGCACTTTCTGTTGTCTGCCACAACTTGACGTTTGAATATTTTTTTGTTTCATTTAAGCTTGAAAACCTGTGAAGGTCTTGGGGAGCTTCATCCACTTCTCCAGCCACCTCTAGCAGATGTACAAGTATGAATGCATTTGTTATGATCTGATAAGTGAGAGATGCTCAAATTAAGGAGCAAACGAGACAAAATGCCAGTCAACAATACTGACTTTTATTTGTAGCTTTTAGTGTGTAGGGGAAAGAGAGAGAGAGCCAGCAGAAGACAGTCACCACCCACATATCCAGCAGTGTCCTGTTGATCCTTTTTCATCCTGGGCTTCTCAGTGGTGGGATGAGGGGACTTAATTCATACTTCTTTTGGTAAGTTCTGTGCAGGAAGGGGTGCTGGGTACACAAGATGAAACAGACTATGAAAATTTTTCACTGACTATGGCAGTTCACTGACTATGAAAATTTTTCACTAGGTGTTTTAGCAAACAAAGCAAACCATGCTTATTGGCTACAAGTTGCATAGTTCTCTAGTTAGTATCCTATCTTCTACTGCTTAATGATTCCATTGCTTTCTGTACTAATTAATTCTTTCTCTTTTTTTGAGTCGGTGGATTTCTTGAATTGCACATTTGCTGAATGGGATTTATTGGTGTCTTCCTTATCTTGGGAGTTCTGCCTGATGTCCTCGTGGTCTCCGAATTTGTCATTTTTTGTATCCACTAACAGTAGTACATCCTTCTTTTCAAGCTTTGTTAACCTCCCCATAGGTCATTGAGCAGTATTGTCTTTATACAGCCCATGGGGCTGGTATCCACAGGGGAGCTCTGGAGCCTGTTGGTGGTTGCAAAGGCCGTCTGTCCCGTAACTTGGGATGTTCTTTCTTCGTCGATGGGCGTGTGAGCTGCTGTTTTTCACAGTCTGTCCCAGCAGAGCTGTACGGACCGGGTTCTGCTAACCAGTTATTGCCCCTGCCAGACCTGGAATTAGCATCTTCCTGGCACAAATTCCCCATCTCTCTGGCCTAATACTGTTCAAGATTTTAACTCCTGGGAGCTCCTACGTGAGCCATGGGCAAGAGCAGAGCATGAATCTCTCCAGGCTCGCAGCAAGCTGCTGCCAAAACCGCCTCTGCATGCAGCACGGTAGACACAAACGCTTGTATTTAGGGTTTGGTAGCTGCCGCTTGTGCGAGAGGCGGCGCGGGGCTCGAGCGGCCCCGCCCCGGCCCGGGGCGAGCGCGGGGCAGGGCCGGGGCGGGATCGTGCCCCGCCCGGTCCCGGCGGGGAGCCCCGAGCCGCCGCCGCCGCCCGCTGCCCTCGGCACCGCCGCCGCCGCGCACACAGTGAGTGCCGCCGTGCGCTCCGCGGGGCCCTGGCCCGGCCCGTTCCCTCCGCGCACACAGTGAGTGAGTGCCGCCGTGCGCTCCGCGGGGCCCCGGCCCGGCCCGTTCCCTCCGCGCACACAGTGAGTGAGTGCCGCCGTGCGCTCCGCGGGGCCCCGGCCCGGCCCGTTCCCTCCGCGCCGGGCGCCCCCTGCTCCTGCCCTGCGCGCCCGCGGCAGCCGCGGCCGAGAGCGGCGGCGGGGCGGGCGACCCGGCGGCGATCCCGGCAGAGCGCCGGGCTCATCCCGGGGGCCGAAGTGCAGCGCTGGGTCTGGGGCAGGGTCGCTGCCGCGTCCTGTCCCGGCTGGTCCCGGTACCGCGCTCCAGGTGGGAGCTGCCCGGAACCACGCGGGGAGAGTTTCCTCACCGCCAGTATGCTTGGGTGAAGGCTGCTCTGCTCTGCTTTGCTCGGGGAGACCGAAACTCCTCCGCTTCTCTGAGCTAGCTTTCCGCTGTTTTCCCAGAAATGTCTGTGCTTTCACCCAGAGTGAACCGTGCTCCATGTCCGCGTGTGCCGGGGTGCGCAGGACTGACCTGTAGCTCTTGAGGCAGAGGCAAGCGTGGTGGTGCAGCTGAAGTCTGCACGGTGGTGATAAAAGAAACTTTTCTGAGACGTGCCAGTTTGGCTTTGAAATACTGCTAGCAAAAATCCTGAAGTTCCGCCTATAGGCTTAGTTGTATCTTATTTACATACTGTTAATTAAATAAGGGAGATCACAGTTCAGTGTGGACTCTTCCTTTTTAGAAACCTGAATGGTCAGACCTTCCAAACCTCTGTGTGTCTCTAGAGGTACGTGTTCGCTTTACCTGAGCACGGGTAAAGTCCAGGTGATGCTTCCCCCTCTCAGCACGTGTCTTGTTTCAGTTACGCTCCTTTGCAATTTTTTGTGTAACTGGTCAGTGAAACCACTCACGTTACAAACAGCCTGGTCAAAACTTCTCTCAGCAGTCGTTTTCACACTCACTGGCTACGTTGAGTGCTGCCAGCTCTGTTTATCTTTTGTAAGCTCTAAATAGGAAATTTGCTTTGAAAGAGTGGAGCCAAGCCAAGCCAAGCCAAAAAAAAAAAAAAAAAATTCTGGAGAGGAGAAGTGTTGCGGTGGAAAGAGGTATGAGCCCTGTATTTGGAAGACAAAACTTTGCGAACTTGGAATATGCTTAGAAGCAGGAACAAGGAACTGAAGTGTTCTAGTACGTTTGCATTTAGTACTTGAGCTAAAAGGTTCTAGTACATTTAGTGTCTCTAGTTCACCTGAAAGCAAATTTCACCTGGAATACTATTGAAATAGAAGTTATGGTGCAGATCTTTGCAGGAACACAAAATACTGCAGCTTGAAATGGAAATTGCTTGCTCTTTGCCCTGTACAGGAAGCTGCTCATTTCCGTTAAATACAAACTTGCCTAGTCTGACTAAATCTAGATTTCAGTGTGCTCCATGGCTTTAATTTATATGTTTTGAGTTTTCTTTAAGTAGTTGCTGCTAGGTAAAGAATAATACTTGCTGCTTGAAAAGGCTGAGCAGATAATCAAATTTCAACTTTGGTCATTCATATTTTGGTACAACAAGGCAAGTCCTCCAAGTGATGGACAGTAAAATGCCTAATTAGCATTAAGGCAGATGATGCATCCTTACAGCGTAGTTTTATCCAAAACTAATACTGAAGTAGCAGTTTATAAACAGTGGCTGGTTTGAGATAAGTTACATCTTAGGATGAATTTTCTTCTAAGTTGCAGATGTTTGTTTTTGAGTTTAATTCATAATAGAGGTTTTGGGCTAGGATTCACCTTTATGTTTTTTGTTAATTTTTGTACATGAACACTACAAAAATGAAAAGGAGAAAAAAGTCACCAAATGGTATTTGTCATGGTCTTGCCATTGTATATATCCTTTAAAATTACCTACTTAATCTAAAAGATTGGTAGTAACTTTTCATAGATTTTTCTGTATTTATTACTTTCTAGCAGCTGTAACCATGTTCTGGGTAAATTTGATTACAGCTTTACATCCTTAAGATAAATTATAAGGCAAATAGATGGTACTGTGATTCTTTTCATTTTGTCTTTCTTTCCCCACTGCCTTCGTAGGTACATTTCTTGTAATTTTTTATATTTTCCTTGTATTAGACTGATCATTTAAACTACTTTCATCTTGTCCCACTGACAAATTTCTTACACTGTGTTTGTCACATTTTGTGAATCAGATTGAACTGATGAACAGAACGAAATTTTACTGAAAATAAGTATATAGGAAGAATTTTCTTGTAGGGGAAGTATTCTTTGTACACAATATACCTTAAAAAAGTGTCAAGGCAAATTTCGGTAATGTGTATCTCAACCTGACAGATTCTAATGCTCTTGTTTTTCTTTGGAGTATCACAAATACACAAATTGTGGTGCTCCAGGAGCTATGATTTAATGTCGAAGGAACCTGGGGAGTTTTTTGGGCTGGTCTGGGGGTTTTTTAGTGTCCATCTACTCACAGCCATGTTGTCAATTCTATTTGTGATAAAAATACTTACAACATTCTTCAACTGTAATGCAGTGCAGATTCTAGGCCTCTTTATTTTTATTGGCTTTGCAATCACTAAAAGTGAGTATGGTTGGAAATTACTTGGGGATTTTTTCCTCTTATGCTTCCAATGTCATCAGATCATAAGACCCAAAGTAAATGTTACCTGTGTTCAAGTGAAAGTTAAGATGGTATTTTTCAGTTAAGCATGTACACAAGAGGTTTCACACAGCAGTTTTACATTGTCTTTCTCAAGTAATGTTTTGCTCAAACCAGAATTTCCTTTTTAAACTTAGAGATTGACCTCAGCCCCACTGAGAAGTGAGCTCTGTGCTCTGAGACTGAGGTGTATAATTTGCAGAGCAGTGGCAGGCAGCACTTGGCTGTTTCCTAAGCATCTCTAACAAGCCTCAAAGAAGGGGAAGAGTGTGTGGAATACAGGATTTATGTTAGAAATTGTTAATTCAGTGTTTCAGGTGCTGTTGTCTGAACTGATCATTGACTGTCACTTCTAGCCAAAACATCACTTCTTTCTTCATTTCAGTGTGGAGGTTCCTGGAATCTCTGTAGTAAGGCAGGTGTGCAAGATGTATGTAAAATGCATAGCTTTTAAATGAAAAAGGAGTTAAAGCTGTCCTTAATTTCAATACATTTTTATTTGGAAATACAGATAATGACTAGTAAATATCTCAGCCCTTGAGCAAATCTTACAGGGACTTAAAAGGTGCTACATGGCTTTTTTGATGATAATACCCTTAGCTGGCATTGATGTGCTGTATGCTGACAATAGTGGGACCAACAAAACTGGACATGTTAAAACCCAGCATTTTCTCCCATTTATGGAATAATACAGTCAAGAATGTGGGAG